CATGCTGCACAGCTTGTAATATCTTAGTTCCCCAACCAGGAACTGAACCCGGGCAATGGCCGGTGAAAGTGCCGAGTCCTAACCACTGGATCTCCAGTGAACTCCCCCTTGTCTTTTTTTATTTTTTTAACATCTTTATTGGAGTATAATTGCTTTACAATGGTGTGTTAGTTTCTGCTTTATAACAAAGTGAATCAGTTATACATATACTAATATTCCCATATCTCTTCCCTCTTGCGTCTTCCTCCCTCCCACCCTCCCTATCCCACCCCTCCAGGTGGTCACAAAGCACCGAGCTGATCTCCCTGTGCTATGCAGCTGCTTCCCACTAGCTATCTATTTTACGTTTGGTAGTGTATATATGTCCATGCCACTCTCTCACTTTGTCACAGCTCACCCTTCCCCCTCCCCCCCTCCCCACCCTTGTCTTTTTGTTTTTTAAATAAAATTTATTTATTTATTTTTGGCTGCATTGTGTTTTCGTTGCTGTGCACGGGCTTTCTCTAGTTGCGGTGAGCAGGGGCTACTCTTCCTTGTGGTGCGCAGGCTTCTCATTGCGGTGGCTTCTCTTATTGCAGAGCACAGGCTCTAGGTGTGTGAGCTTCAGTGGTTGTGGCACACAGGCTTAGCTGCTCCAAGGCATGTGGGATCCTCCTGGACCGGGGCACGAACCCATGTCCCCTGCATCGGCAGGCGGACTCCCAACCACTGTGCCACCAGGGAAGCTCCTGCCTAGTTTTTAATTGTTTTTTTGCTATTAAGTTGTACGTGTTCTTTACATGTTTGGGATATTAACCCCTTATCATACATGATTTCTAAATAGTTTCTTCTATTCAGTAGGCTGCCCTTTTATTTTGTCATGTTTTCCTTTTCTATGCAGAAGCATTTTAGTTTGATATAGCCCCACTTGTTTGTTTTTGTTGCCTTTGCTTTTGGAGTCAGATCCAAAAAACCACCAATACTGCTTGTTTTCTTCTAGGATTTTTTTTTTTTTTTCATGCAGTACGCAGGCCTCTCACTGTTGTGGCCTCTCCCGTTGCGGAGCACAGGCTCCGGACGCACAGGCTCAGCAGCCATGGCTAATGGGCCCAGCCGCTCCGCGGCATGTGGGATCTTCCCGGACTGGGGCACGAACCCGTGTCCCCTGCATTGGCAGGCGGACTCTCAACCACTGCACCACCAGGGAAGCCCTCTTCTAGGATTTTTATGGTTTCAGGTTTTACATTAATCCATTTTGAGTTAACTTTTGTGTATGGTGTAAAATAGTAGTCTAGTTAATAAACTCTTTTGCGCTGCCAGTTTTCCCAGAATCATTTATTGAAGATACTGTCCTTTCCCTATTGTATATTCTTGGCTTTGTCATAAATTAACCATAAATGCATGAGTTTATTTCTGGGCTCTCTAGTCTGTTCCATTGATCCATGTGTCTGTTTTTATGCCTATACCATACACTTTTGATTACTGTAGCTTTGTAATATAGTTTGAAATCAGGGAGCATGATGCCTCCAGCTTTGTTGGTCTTTCTTAAGATTGTTTTGGCTATTTGGGGTCTCTTGTGGTTCCATCCAAATTTGAGGATTGTTTGTTCTGTTTCTGTGAAAAATGTCTTTGGAATTTTGATAGGGATTGCATTGAATCTGTAGACTGCTTTGGGTAGTATGGACATTTTAACATTTATCTTCCAATCCATGAGCACAGAATATCTTTCCATTTATTTGTGTCTTCTTCAATTTCTTTCATCAGTGTCTTTGAGTTTTCAGTGTGTAGGTTTCTGACCTTGGTTAAACTTATTCCTAGGTATTTTATTCTTTTTTGGAAGGCAGCTATGCTCACCACTAAATCACCAAAGCTGCACTGTGTTATTCTTTCTGATGCAGTTATAAATGGAATTAGTTTCTTTTTCTGATAGTTTATTAATACATAGAAATACAAGATTTTTGTATACTGATGTTGTATCTTGCAGGCTATACTGAATTCATGTATTCTAGCCGTTTTCTTGTGTGGAATCTTTAGGGTTTTCTATATATGTCATCTGCAGATAGTTAGTTTTACTTCTTCCTTTCTGATTTGGATTCTTTTTATTTTACTTGCCTAATTGCTCTGGCTAGGATTTCCAATACTATGGGTTTTGGTTTTTTTTTCCTTCTTTCTTGACTTTTTATTAGAAAAAATATTTTACATATAATTTTAGTTTTCTTTTTTAACATCTTTATTGGAGTATAATTGCTTTGCAATGGTGTTAGTTTCTGCTTTATAACAAAGTGAATCAGCTATCCCATACTATGTTGAATAAAAGTGACAGTGGGCATCTTTGTCTTTTTCCTCGTCTTAGAGGAAAGGCTTTCAGCTTTTCATTGTTGGCTGTGGACTTGTCATCTATGACCTATATGTTGAGGTATGTTTACTCTGTATCTCTGTATGAGTTTTTATCATGAACGCTGAGTTTTGTCAAATGCCTTTTCTGCAACTATTGAGATGATCATGTTTTTTATCCTTCATTTTGTTAATGCGGTATATAGCACATTGATTTGTGGATGTTGAAGCACTCTTGCATCCTTGTACTAAATTCCACTTGATCATGGTGTATGAGCCTTTTAATGTATTGTTGAATTCAGTTTGCTAATATCTTATTAGAGGATTTTTGCCTCTATGTTTATCAGGGATATTGACCTGTAATTTTCTTTTCTTATGGTGTCCTTGCCTGGTTTTGGTATGAGAGTAATGCTGGCCTCATAAAATGATTTTGGAAGTGTTCCTTCCTCTCCTGTTTTTGGAAGAGTTTGAGAAGGATTGGTATTAGTTCCACTTTGAATGCTTGGTAGAATTCACCAGTGAAGCTACCTGGTCCTGGACTTTTATTGGGAGGCTTTTTTTTTTTCCTTTAAATTTTATTTATTTTTGCTGTGTTGGGTCTTCGTTTCTGTGCGAGGGCTTTCTCTAGTTGCGGCGAGTGGGGGCCACTCTTAATCGCAGTGTGCAGGCCTCTCACTATCGCGGCCTCTCTTGTTGCAGAGCACAGGCTCCAGACGCACAGGCTCGGTAGTTGTGGCGCACAGGCCTAGTTGCTCTGCGGTATGTGGGACCTTCCCAGACCAGGGCTCAAACCCGTGTCCCCTGCATTGGCAGGCAGATTCTCAACCACTGTGCCACCAGGGAAGCCCTGGGAGGCTTGTTGATTACAATCTCCTTACTAGTGATCAGACTATTCACATTTTCTATTTCTTCATGATTCAATCCTAGAAGGCTGTGTTTCTAGGAATTTATCCATTTCTTCTGGGTTATCCAATTTGTTGGCATATAATTAGTTGTTCATAGTACTCTCTTATGATCCTTTGTATATGTGTGGTACAGTTGTAATGTCTCCCCTTTCACTTCTGATTTTACTTAATTGAGCCCCTTTTATTCTTGGTGAGTCTAGTTAAGGGTTTGTCAGAGGAGCTGTTTTCACTTTGAGAAGCCACTTGAATCGTAGTGTCAGCTCCCCTTCTTAGTCTGAAACTGTGTTTTCCCTGTAACTACAGATATCAGGGATGAGTTTTCAATCTACACAGTAATGTCCTGGGGGTCAGGAAGAGAGTACTTTCCTTTCATAACCCAGCCCACGTCCAGGCAGAGTAGGCACTCACTCAGACATATGAGGGAGGGTAAAATCCTTCTTAGATCAGAGCGAGAGCAGAGTTTAATAGATGTCTTCAAAGCCACATCTTTGAAACCTTGACTCTTTGACTAATGAGCTTTGTGAGCTTGGATAAACTAAGCTGAGGAAAGCAGTTTGTTGGCGGAGCCATTTTTATCACAATAAATACTAATTACAACCATTCTGTGTATTTCTCTGCCCTTTGAGGACCTATCAGCATCAGTCTGAGGGGCAGGTGGTGAGGATATATAAGAGCTCAGGTCTCACCAGCAGAAGGTGGTAATGAAAGCTTCCTCTCAAAGACTAAGATTTAGAACTGTCATCTACTCTGGTACTCCTGAAACCGGCTCCCATGTCCCACATGCAAATCTTATATAGTAATTCCTAGGCCATCAGTAAAGGTGTCTGCACAGTGCGTTCAGCTTGGGGCCCCTAGGTTCTCTGCTCTTGCCACTACAGACTTCAAGGTACACACGTGACTAGCCCTTTAAACCCATGGCAGGCAGAGAAAGAAGGTGAAACAAATACTAAATCTGTAGTGTTTGGTTCTACAGGGCAGGGTACAGTCTCAGTGGGAATGGTGGGGGGGGGGGCTGCAAATTAGAAAAATGGATTTAGTAGAGTCTGTACTTACCCTCACTTTGAGTCTAAGTAAATAAATGTTCTCTTCCTTGGTTTGATACTGTGATAAACTCAATTACTTGTTTTTCTGATAGTATAGTAGTCTGGAAACTCTATGGTATGGGTATCTTCTAACATCTTGTTTTTCTGCTTGGTCTTCAGAACTTATAAGAGGCAACCTACTAGGTCTGGGGTTGGCAAATTATGTTTTGTTTTTTTTTTTTGGTAAAGTTTTGTTGGAACATAGCCATGCATATTCATTTGTGTTGTCTATGGCTACTTTTGTACTGAAGCAGAATTAAGTAGCTGTGATAGAGACATAGCCTGCAAACCTAAAATATTAACTATCCCTTTAAGAAAAAGTTTGTCAACTCCAGTAGGACTTACTTCTCATTTAGGGCAGTGGATCACGTGACTGAACATCAAGGCAAGGCACCCTTGACGGTGAGCTTCGTTTATCTAATTTAAAGCTGGTCAAGGTAAGTTTGTTTTTTTCTCTCCAAACTGTAAATGCATAAAGATTTATCAGTAAGGATTTTCTACATGGTGCTCATTCAGGGATACTGGATAGCAGGGACCACACATATACACGAACGAGGTTTCCAGGTAGGGACTCTGGTACCCAGTGCGAAACAGCCCATCTCTAGTACTGGGTGAGTGATTAAGACATTAAACAGTGTACAGCAAAGAACATTTTGTCAAAATTACTGCTTGTGGACTAAAACAAAGGACACATTCCCACTAGAACAGAAATAAATTTTAATTCATTGAAAAGTGCAGCAGTGAACAGGGTCCTTCGAAGGGCACTTCCTTAGTCACATGACTGAGACGACACAGAGCCAGGGCAGAATAACCTCTAAGAACAGATAATGCAAACACAGGAATTCACAAATTCAGTTGGACCTAAGCGGTGGTGAAACAAAAGACCCAAATATTCCCACCTAGTTCCACTGGTGGATCAGTTCAAATACCCTTTGCTTTCTCTTAGTAAGGATCCTGGGACAATTTTATCTTCTTTCATTAAAACGCTAGTCCTTAGACACAAAAATATAACCTTCCATGGCTATCATTACTATGTTGTACAAAAACCCTACTGTTGTCAATTAAAATGTATTTTGCAACAGCACCATTGGTCAAATTCAAAGATACTGAAAAGGCATGCCCTACTTTGTAGTCGTAGGGAATGTAATTTTACTTGCGGGAGAGCTTTGTAATAGGAAATCTTATAAGGCAAAATCTCTATTCTTCCCCAAGACCTCTGTTCGTTCCTAATGGTTACAGTTTTCTATTACCAATACATATGGACCTGGTCTTCTTAAAAGGGAAAATAATCAAAATTCAAATCAGTACAATTAAGAGAGAAACAAGGCAAGCCTCTTGCAGTGGGGCCCTTGTACATATCATTCTGAAAAATTCCAGTGCATTTTGTGGTCTGCTGGCCTAGAAACTGAGGTCTCTTTATGAGAGATGATTTTAGTGTAGATCCAGAATGCAACCAGTCCACGAGAAAAAGTCAAATTAGAGGCCATTCAAAAATCAGGGGTACAAAAATAAAAGGGCTTCACTGCATTCCCTGCCCTGCCTGCCCCCCAGACAAAAGTCTGATGAATGTAAGAGCAGTGGGACAGGAATACTATCACCGGCTGATTTGTGTCACTCTTACTACGTCATCTGCTTTCAGGAACGAGCATCATAAAACTGAATAATATGACATCACAGTAGAAGACCTGGTAAGAGTTGTTTTCTCTTTATTCAGGAATAACCATATGGTCAACTTCCATTAATGTGGAAGCTGACTGATGAATGTGAAGACTCAAAAGTGTAGAATAAAGCCAATACCCATACTCAACATTGTAGTTTGCTTTTAGTTACAAAACTGTTAGAATTTCTTTTCCTAAAATGGTCACAGCAGAGGTATTCATTTCACTTGCCCATTTCACCTCTAAATACCACCACAGTTACTGGGATTGTATGAGGTAAAGGAATAAACCCAATGGCTGTTAACCCAACATGGCTATCTGGAATTGTGAGTTACTTATGGCCATGTCTTACAAAGTGCTTAAAGCTCAACCTAGGACCTTACATAAAGCTAAAATCACTACTGCCTGAGTTGAACAGGTTATAAACCACGGTTCCTCCTCCTCCCCCGCTGCCACATCACCAATTAACCTTCTTGTGAAGAAAACACAAGAAATGGGAGTGGTCTTCGAGCCAAGAGACAGAAATGCAGGTGTTCTAAACAGTGAGGAAATCTCAAGAGGATCAGGTTTCGACAGAGGAATAGTGAATTAGGCCCAAGTTACACAAGACTCCAAAAACTCAAGAAGTTGTTTTGCTGAAAGGGAAGAAGGTAAGTAGTTGGTACTCTGCATCAACTCTAAGGAATTCTTACATCTTATAACAAATGAACAGAATGTCAGCAATATGCAAAGGGAGTCTCACAACTTCACACATGGGACTAGAACCCAGGCTCCCTGCCGGACAGGCACTTACTACACCCTGATTTATAGCCCTTCAACCTGTTAACCAGAGAGCCCTACCTGCAGAAGGCCCTCAGAAAACACAACCTTCACCAACCCTTGGAAGTTCTTCTCTGCTGAAATACTTAACCCACTTTATATTTCAGATCCGAGAAAGGAAAGTACCAACAGAAGAGACATTCCCCAGATACCCCTGGTGTTCACTGGCACTCCATGTGATTAGCAGCTACTGGAAAGTAGATGTCCATCACCTTCGGTAACTACCTGGAATTAGCCTTTACCAAAAGCTTGCTACTGTTCTATTTCAGTGTAGCACCAGCCCAGAATTGCCAAAAAATGAACAGAGCTTCACTGATGCGTTTTGAATTTGTGATCCATTGTGATGGATATTATAAAGTGTATTTCTACTGATCTAAAAACAATGGTATTTGTTCTTAATCAGATGGTTCAGCTCTGATGGTTATTAATCAGATGGTTCAGCTCTGATGGTTATGCTTCAAGCCATGTGATATTAGTATTTTTGATAGTGACGTGTTCAGTCTCGAATGCTATGCAGGTCCTCTGATTTTAGGTCAAGCTGTATACCAAAAACCTTGCCCCCCTTAAAGCATTGCCATTTATCTGAATGGATTTACAAATCTAGACTTTGACCACATGGGGAATAATCAAGAACTGTGGCCCCAGGACAGAAAGGGTTTGGTGAGAACAAAGACCTCAGGAGTATCAATATCAGTGGAATAAAGGGACCAGGGACAGCCACTCCTGACACACAGGCAGAGTTCACCGTTTAACACACTGCACAAGGAAGTCAGCTGATTGGGTTGCTTTTTCAAACAGGACTTAAAGCCAGTCCAGAAACCCTTCCAGGCATGGTCTTGAAGACTAGCTACAGACACACCTACTACAATCACTTCATCAGAAAGAGGCGTGCAAGGGATCCAACCGCAGAGGTGCTACAGATGTTTTGAAAACCTTCGAGTCCTGACACTGCCATGATTATTGAACATGAGACGAGGGTCAAACCTATATCTGGGCAGAGAAAAAGAAAAAAACAATGTCACATTAACTACAATTAGCCATTGAGTACTTCATTCAGAATATCAACTGGAAAGAATGGCAGGAAGGGATACAAAAGGAAAAATTAAGTCACCAGAAGGGGATCTAGTGGGAAAGTCTGTAGTACAAAGCAAGAGTACTTAGTAATTAAGAGCATTTCCATCGTAAGTCAGCAAGCACAAAATAATATAGTGGAAGTGGAGAGGAGAGGAGAAGTGGAGAGGAGAGGAGAAACAGAAGTAAGGCTAATCCTGAAAGGGGTTAGGAGGAAAGGTTTGAGCTTACTTTTTTTGGGGGGGGGGCGGGGGCGATCCCTCAACTATAAAGCAGCCTGGGGAAGAGTCTAGTCCTTGCTGAAAGCCCTTCCAACATTTTCAAAGCCCTGTCTTCTTTCTCAGTTTAGATACACAGACTGTGGTGGGTAAGAACACAGGTCTGCACCTGACGGGAGCTTGAATCTGGCTCATTATGAACTTAGGTAAGTCATCGACCCCTCTGGCCACCAACAAAACAGGAAGGCAACTCATGTAAAATATGTGGCACATAAAATCACTTATTTCCCTCCCGTGGGGAAGTAAGAATGAATGCCAATGGTAACTTGAGTTGAGACCTGGCAGACATGAAGAACACAGACTGGGGATTTCTCTGGTGGTCCAGTGGTTAAGTCGCCGAGCTTCCACTGCAGGGGACACGGGTTCCATCCCTGGTTGAGGAACAAAGATCCCGCATGCCTCAGGGCGTGGCCAAAAAAAAACCCCACAGGCTGGCTGGACTTTGTGTGATCTGGAAATAACATTGTATTTTACTTTGATCTGCTACCTTTGGTAACAGATACTAACTCTTAGTATTATTTTATAGCAGGGGCTGGCCAAGTTTCTCTGTAAAGGGCCAGATAATAAATATTTCAGAGCTTGTGGGCCACACAGTCTCTGTCCCAACTACTCAGCTTTGTCGCTGAAGTGCAAAAGCAGCCCCAGGCAATACATAAATATCTGTGTGCACTGTATTCCAACTGGTGGCGTCTGGAGTGGGCCTGTAATATCTAGTCTGCTGGCACCCACTCTAGAAGATTCTATCGGCCTAACCGTTTGGTAGGAAAGAAAACCAGGTGGAGTTTAAATAGCTCAGGCTAACATCAGCAAGGCCAGCATCTAGAATCTTAGTGATAAGCCTCCAGAATGTGTGCAAGACAGTTAGTTATGGTTAAAAAAACAAAGGAATTTCATGGAAGAAGTCTTGAGAGAGTAAGGTGTTGTTGAGACCATTTGGACTGGGTATGTGACTTAGCCCCATTAAAGCCTCTATATAAACCTCAAGATTCTGCCAGGTGGGTGCGGAGATCTACTCATCTTTCAGCTGCCCAAGACAAGCCTCTCATACAAGGAAACTGAGGCTTGTTCAATTAAGATAATGCACCAAAGATCAACAGCTGTTTTGAGGATGGAGATAAGGTGGCGGAGAAGAGGGATGTGAGCTCACCTCTTCTCATGAAAATACCAAATTCACAACTAACTGCTGAACAACCATCAACAAAAAACAACACTGGAACTTACCAAAAAGATACCCTACATCCAAAAACAAAGAAGCCACAATGAGACAATAGGAGGGGTGCAATCGCGATAAAATGAAATCCCATACCTGCTGGGTGGGTGACCCACAAACTGGAAAATAATTATATCTCAGAGGTTCTCCCACAGGAGTGAAAGTTATGAGCCTTGCATCAGGCTCCCCAGCCTGGGGATATGGCATTGGGAGGAGGAGCCCCCAGGGCATTTGGCTTTGAAGGCCAGCGGGGTTAGACTGGGGCAAAGAGAAACTCCACTCTTGGAGGGTGCACACCAGGTCTCATGCACACCAGGACCTGGGGGAAAAAGCGGTGACCTCACAAGAGTCTGGGCTTAACCCACCTGCTGGTATTGGAGGGTCTCCTCCAGAGGCGGGGGGAAGGGGGTGGCTGTGGCTCACTACAGGGACAAAGACACTGGTGGCAGTAGTTCTGGGTAGCTCACACTCATTGGTGTGAGCCCTTCAGGAGGCCACCATTTTCTCACCAAGACCTGGCCTCACCCAACAGCCTATAGGCTCCAGTGCTGGGATGCCTCAGCCCAAACAACCAACTGGGTGGGAATACAACCCCTCCCCATCAGCAGACAGGCTGCCTAAAGTCTTCCTGAGCCCACAACTGCTGGCTAAACACACCCCTTGACGTGGCCCTGCCCACCAGAGGGACAAGACCCAGCTCCACCCACTGGGCAGGCACCAGTCCCCACCCCCCACCCCTCCCAAACAGGAAGCCTGCACAAGCCTCTTAGACTGGCCTCATCCACCAGGGGGCAGCAGCAGAAGCAAGACAAACTACAATCCTGCAGCCTACAGAATGGAAACCACAACCACAAAAAGTTAGACAAAATGAGACAGCAGAGGAAATATGTCCTATATGAGGGAACAAGATAAAACCCCAGAAGAACTAAGTGAAACGGAGATAGGTGATCTACCCAAAAAACAATTCAGAGTAATGATAGTAAAGATGACCCAAGATCTTGGAAAAAGAATGGGGGCACAGATGGAGAAGATAGAAGAATACAAAAACTGAAATGAATAATACACTAGAAAGAATCAGTAACAGTAAATGAGGCAGAACAACAGATAAGTGAGCTGGAAGACAAAATGGTGTAAATCACTGCCACAGAACAGAATAAAGAAAACAGAATGGAAAGAAATGAGGACAGTCTAAGAGACCTCTGGGACAACATTAAATGCACTGCATTATAGGGGTCCCAGAAGGAGAAGAGGGAAAGGGCCTGATAAAATATCTGAAGAGATACTAGCTGAAAACTTCCCTAAAATGGGAAAGGAAACAATCACCCAAGTCCAGGGAGTGCAGAGAGTCCCAGGCAGGATAAACCCAAGGAGGAACACACCGAGACACATATTAGTCAAATTGACAAAAATTAAAGACAATGAAAAAATACTAAAAGCAGCAAGAGAAAAGCAACACAGAACATACAACGGAATCCCCATAAGGTCATCAGCTGATTTCTCAGCAGAAACTCTGCAGGCCAGAAGGGAGTGGCACAATATATTAAAGTGATGAAAGGGAAGAACCTACGACCAAGATTACTCTACCCACCAAGGCTCTCATTCAGAGTTGACGGAGAAATCAAAAGCTTTACAGAGAAGCAAAAGCTAAGAGAATTCAGCATCCCCACACCAGCTTTGCAACCAATGTTAAAGGAACTTCTCTAGGCAGGGAAAAAAAAAAGGCCACAACTAGAAAATTAAGAATGAGAAAGCTCACTGGTAAAGGCAAACATACAGTAAAGGTAGGAAATCATCCACACACAAATATGATATCAAAACCAGCAACTGTGAGAAGAAAAGAGTACAAATCCAGGATATTAGAAATGCATTTGAAATTAAAAGACCAGCAAATTAAAATAATCTTGTATATATATACAGACTGCTATATCAAAACCTCCTGGTAAATACAAACTGAAAATCTACAGCAGATACACACACACAAAAAAGAAAAAGGAATCCAAACACAACAATAAAAAGTCGGGCATCAAATCAGAAGAGAACAAAAGAGGAAGGGGAGAAAAAAGACCTACAAAAGCAAATCCAAAACAATTAGGAAAATGGCAATAAGAACATACATATTGATAATTACCTGAAATGAAAACGAATTAAATGCTCCAACCAAAAGACACAGACTGGCTGAATGGCCACGAAAACAAGACCCATATACTGTCTACAAAAGACCCACTTCAGATCTATGGACACATATAGACAAAGTGAGGGGATGGAAAAAGGTATTCCATACAAATGGGAATCAGAAGAAAGCTGGAGTGGCAATACTCATATCAGACAAAACAGACTTTAAAATAACACCCCACTTTCATCAATGGACAGATCATCCAGACAGAAAATCAATAAGGAAACAAGGCCTTAAATGACACATTAGACCAGATGCACTTAAGTGATATTTATGGAGCATTCCATCCAAAAGCAGCATAATATACACTCTTTTCAAGTGCACATGGAACATTCTCCAGCACCTATCACATGCTGGGCCACAAAGAAAGCTTCAATAAATTTAAGAAAATTGAAATCATATCAAGCATCTTTTCCATCCACAACACTATGAGATTGGAAATCAACTACAAGAAAAAAACTGTAAAAAGCACAAACACGTGGAGGCTAAACAAAATGCAACTAAACATCCAATGGATCAGTGAAGAAATCAAAGAGGAAATCAAAAAATACCTAGAGACAAATGAAAATGAAAACGAAAACACAACGATCCAAAACCTATGGCATGCAGCAGAAACAGTTCTAAGAGGGAGTTCATAGCAATACAAGCTTACCTAAGGAAACAAGAAAAACCTCAAACATCCTAACCTTACACCTAAAGCAACCAGAGAAAGAAAAACAAACAAAATCCAAAGTTAGTAGAAGGAAAGAAATCACAAAGATCAGAGCAGAAATAAATGAAACAGAGATGAAGAAAACAATAGAAAAGATCAATGAAACTAAAATCTGGTTCTTTGAAATGATAAACCTTTAGCCAGACTCATCAAGAAAAAAAGGCAGAGGGCTCAAATCAATAAAATTAGAAATGAAAAAGGAGAAGTTGCAGCTGACACCACAGAAATACAAAGGATGATAAGAGACTACTACAAGCAACTATATGCCAATAAAATGAACAACCTGCAAGAAATGGACAAATTCTTAGAAAGGTACAATCTCCCAAGACTGAACCAGGAAGAAACAATATATGAACAGACCAATCACAAGTACTGAAATTGAAACTGTGATTAAAAAATTCCCAATGAACAAAAAAGTCCAGGACCAGATGACTTCACAGGCAAATTCTATCAAATATTTAGAGAAGAGTTAACAGCTATCCTTTTGAAACTATTCCATTGAAACTATTCTCCAAAACTGCAGAGGAAGGAACACTCCCAAACTTAATCTATGAGGCCACCATTACCTTGATACAAAAATCAAAGATACCACAAAAAATGAAAATTACAGGCCAATATCACTGATGAACACAGATGCAAAATCCTCAACAAAATACTAGCAAACCGAATCCAAAAATACATTAAAAGGATCATACACCAGGATCAAGTAGGATTTATCTCAGGGATGCAAGGATTTTTCAATATCTGCAAATCAATCAGTGTGATGATACACCACATTAACAAACTGAAGAATAAAAATCATATTTTCATCTCAATAGATACAGAAAAGCTTTTGACAAAATTCAATACCCATTTATGATAAAAACTCTCCAGAAAGTGGGCCTAGAGGGAACCTACCTCAACATAATAAAGGCCAATGCCTACATTGTTAGGCCTACACCTAACATCATACTCAATGGTGAAAAGCTGAAAGCATTTCCTCTAAGATCAGGAACAAGACAAGGATGTCCACTTTCTCCATTTTTATTCAACATAGTTTTGGAATTCCTAGCCACAGCAATCAGAGAAGAAAAACAAAAGAAATCCAAATGGGAAAAGAAATAAAACTGTCACTGTTTGCAGATGACATGACACTATACACAGAAAATCCTAGAGATGCTACCAGTAAATGACTAGAGCTCATAAATGAATTTGGTAAAGTTGCAAGATACAAAATTAATACACAAAAATCTGTTGCATTTCTATACACTAACAATGAAAGATCACAAAGAGAAATTAAAGAAACAATCCCATTTACCGTCACATCAAAAAGAATAAAATACCTAGGAATAAACCTACCTAAGGAGTCAAAAGACCTGTACTCTGAAAACTATAAGATGCTGATGAAAGAAATCAAAGATGACATAAACAGATGGAAAGATATACCATGTTCTTGGATTGGAAGAATCCATACTGTCAAATGACTGTACTACCCAAAGCGATGTACAGATTCAATGCAATCCCTATCAAATTACCAATGGCATTTTTCACAGAACCAGAACAAAAAATATTTTAATTTGTATGGAGACACAAAAGACCCTGAATAGCCAAAGCCATCCTGAGAAAGAAAAACAGAGCTGGAGGAATCAGGCTCCCTGACTTCAGACTATACTACAAAGCTGTCATCAAAACAATATGGTACTGGCACAAAAACAGAAATATACATCAATGGAACAGGATAGAAAACCCAGAGATAAACCCACGCACATATGGTCACCTTATCTTTGATAAAGGAGACAAGAATATACAATGGAGAAAAGGTAGTCTCTTCAATAAGTGGTGCGGGGAAAACTGGAGAGCTACATGTAAAAGAATGAAATTAGAACACTCCCTAACACCTTACACAAAAATAAACTCAAAATGGATTAAAGACCTAAATGTAAGGCCAGACACTATCAAACTCTTAGAGGAAAACATACGCAGAACACTCTGACGTAAATCACAGCAACATATTTTCTGATCCATCTCCTCGAGTCATGGAAATAAAAACAAATGTGAACCAAGAAAACCATAAACAAAACGAAAAGATAACTCACAGAATGAGAGAAAATATTTGAAAAACAAAGTGACTGACAAGGGACTAATCTCCAAAATTTTCAAACAGCTCAAGCAGCTCAATATTAAAAAAACAACCCAATCCCAAAATGGGCAAATCTAAATAGACATTTCTCCAAAGAAGACATAAAGATGGCCAATAAGCACATAAAAACATGCTCGACATCACTAATTATTAGAGAAATGCAAATCAAAACTGCAATGAGGTATCGCCTCACACCAGTCAGAATGGCCGTTATCAAAAAGTCTACAAACAATAATGCTTGGAGAGCCTGTGGAGAAACGGGAACCCGCCTAAACTGTTGGTGAGAATGTAAATTGGTACAACCACTATGGGGAACAGTATGGAAGTTCCTTAAAAAACTAAAAATAGAGCTACCATATATTCCTGCAATCCCACTCTTGGGCATATAGCTGAGAAAACCGTAATTTGAAAAGATACATGCACCCCAATGTTCACTGCAGCACTATTTACAATAGCCAAAACATGGAAGCAACCTAAGTGTGCATCAACAGATGAATGGATAAAGATGTGGTACATATATACAATGGAATATTACTCAACCATGAAAAAGAATGAAATAATACCATCTGTAGCAACATGGATGGACCTGGAGATTATCATACTAAGTGAAGTAAACCAGAAAGAGAAAGACAAATATCATATGATATCGCTTATATGTGGAATCTAAAAAAAAAAGATACAAATGAACTTATTTACAAAACAGAAATAAACTCAGACTTAGAAAACAAACTTATGGTTATCAAAAGGGAAAGGTGGGGGGGAGGGATAAATTGGGAGTTTGGGATTGACATATACACAGTACTATATTTAAAATACATAACCAACAAGGACCTACTTACACAGGGAACTCTACTAAATATTCTGTACTAACCTAAATGGGAAAAGAATTCGAAAAAGATATATGTATATATAGTTGAATCACTTTGCTGTACACCTGAAACTAACAAAACACTGTAAATCAACTATAGTCCAATATAAAATAAAAATTAAAAAAACCAAATCTTGCCTGGAAGTCAAGAGATCTTGCTAAATCAGTTCCAAACGGTTGACCTTTGGGCAACTCACAACTCCAAGCACTATTTCCTCATGTGAAATTTACCTGTTTGGGCTCTAAGGGCTATAGGGGAATTCTATGGTTGAGTCCTTCTAACACTTAACAGGGCTGCTGCATCTGACCTTCTGTGGCCCAACATTACAGTCCAAGATGTCCAAGTCTCATGACCCTCTATGCAAGATTTAGTCGGATGCTGGCTTTAAATTCCTAGAGTCAGTCAGCGACTGCTATAGACATCTAACTTTAGTTTGGTAAAACATTCTGAGCAAAGTAGCTGTTAGGAACTGCAAAATCAACATGTGTCAAGTAGAAGTCTAGTGCTTCTATCTTAGAGAATGAACTTCCTATTTCAAGGAACTGCCACCAAATGAGGATCCATTTCACTAACTTGGAGGAAAGATTAAAGCTGGGTGGTCAGAATGCTTGATCAGTTACTAATTACACATTAACAAGATTATCCATATAAAAGTTAATTAGCTTAAATGATATAAAATTATGATAAATATTCTTTTTTACATTGTTACCTTTAGTTTGCTGGCATCCATGTCTCTTTGGCTCTAGATACACTATTTAAAAGCAAAAGTACTACATTTCTTTAATAAATAGTCTGCAATCCCCTTTCTCTACTCATTCACATACATTCCTCACTGATTTGGATTGAAGATACCACTTCACATGAAGGTAGCTAAATAATTTACTAGTTTCCATCAGCTTAGGACATCATTCTTCCCTCTCTCCTACAATCAGAGTATAAGAACTGAAATAATCCTTTCCCAATGAAAGTCTGATTTTGAATTTTATAATCTTCAAGCAAAAAATGACAGGCTTCTTGCCACACACAGCTCAAATGCATGGTGTGTTGACAGCCATGTTACTGATGAAAAGTTACTGTTTAAGAGGAATGAGAGTAGGAGGAACAGAGCTGACTTAGTAGGTGAGCGTTAAATATCTTTCCAACCTTCATATATTACAGCGGGCTTATTTATTTCGACACTTGAGAGTTCATACTTTCTATTTCATTGTGTGTATTTAATATATTAAATTTACTGGCAAGTATTCAAGTTTCTGTAATTGGGGCTTCTGAGAAAGGAAATGAAAGCATATGCTCTCAGAAGCACTAGGGAACAGGGTAGCCCTGGGTCAGCTTACACTAAAGCAACCCCACATGTCATCAGTGCAATCAAGTGGTACCATGACAAGAATCGCAGGGAGGAAGAAGAGCCCCGCGTGGTACGGGCAGGGCTGCGCCTCCAGCTATAGCACCAACTGGCTGTGGAGAGCAGCTCGTTTTCCCAGCACAACTGGCTGCTGTGCTGGGACGCAGTATTCCCCTTGTAATGCAGAACGGAGAGAAACAGCTCAGCTCAGAGCAAGGAGGACCCATCAGGCTCCCTGTGCCTTGAAGAATGGCAGGACTGCTGGAGACCACGGAACAAAGTTTCTGAGGACGATGCAAACTTACCCGGGGTCAAAGATCCCTGGAGTGCGGCACGTTGGTCCAGAACAGGACTGTAACATCATTAGCCGATAGTTCATCTTTCCTAAAAGCTCTGGGTCTATACTTTTTGCAATGTTATTGATTTGGTGTGGGTCTGCAGTCAGGTTATAGACTTCTACAAACACCTACAGGAAATGAAAAGATAGAGGCAAGAAAAAAGCAAGGGTTACATTTGAAGAAATACTCATGTGAGTTACTTCTAAATGGGAATGAAGGAGGCAGATTAAAGACCAAGGCCCAGGAGAATATCATCGGGTCTCAAGATTCTCAAAAAGCCCAAGGGTATAGAGGAGACAATGGAGCATCTGTTCTGGGGGTTGAACTGCTTTGGGTCTGTGGCCCACATGCTGGAAAGGGGCCTCCAGGATCCCTGTGCCTTCAGGCAGTCAGGAGGGGAAAGAGGAAGAAGCTTATTACCTTCTGTAATTAAAGGAGAGAACCGAAGGCAGGACCCTCAAATGGCAAGGGCTCAGAAACTATACTTAGTAATGAGGTTACTGAGTGAGAGCTGACATTTGAAGTTTATCTTTGCCTTACAATTGTGAAGATTCAAATGAGAACAGATACCAAAGTCCTCTAACCTGTGTTATAAAAATGTTAAGTTTTCCTATTTTAAAAAGCAGTTTTGGATAAATAACACCAATTGAGGAAAGATACAATATTATTTCTAAAACTAGACACGTCTAATATCACTATTTCCCCCTAATCTGTACTTTGTTCTCCAAACTGGAGTTAGTGATAGGCTAAGAAGAAGTACTGTAGATAAATTTTGCCTATAAAGGCTTCAAGTAGCTGCCCTCGGACTATCACTTTTAAAGCAGAAGGAACCGAGTTTGAGGGAAGCTCTCTTCCTTGTTGTCCAAAGTGCTCAGAAGCTACAAATAAATAGTGAGCAAGTCAATTTCTGAGAAACACGATGAGCACCGGCTCCATATGGCAAGATGTGGGCTGCCAGATGGGGTAGGTGCGCACTCTCTGATAAACAGTAAGAAACCACACGGGACGGCAGTCAGTGTGATCCTTCAGATAATCCAGGCTGATCCCGGCTGGCTAAAAGCCACCTTCCTCCAAGGATGCTGCCTTTAACCTGCTAATCTATTTGATCAGCACTGGACTACACTGTGGTGGCGACAGAAGGGTCTGAACCAAGCTGGTTGCCAAGAAACTTTCTAAGAGAGGCCCCAACTCCTTTCATCTCCATAGAAGTTGAGGCATCTTACCTTCACCCCAAACTATCAGGGAAGCAAACAGACCAGGCATGTAGCATCCTAAAAAAGTGAACTGCGTGCATTTAAAGTGTACGTGTGGATGACGGTGGGAGTGGAGAAAACCCCACCCAGCAAGGTGAGTTAAGAGAAGTCAAGTATGGCCTTGTGCAATCCTATTTCCTTAACCGATGGAAACCCAAGGTCAAGTACAGATAAGAAACCCATCCTCCCCAGGAAGCATCCTTGGAATTGTTCTTCTGCCACGAAGTTCAGCCAACGAAGCCCTGGCAGTACACACAAGGGGTGGGGGAGGCAGCAGGCCCTCTTACCTCCTGGTCATCAAACTCGCAATACTGTAAATTCCACATTTCTGACATGGTCCTCACACAGGCATACGTGTTGTTATATGCATCTTCACACACACAGTCTGGGAAACATTGCTGTAGGGACATTTAAAAAGTTACCTGAAGAGCATTCTTCTATAGTAATGAATGCGACTTGCTTTACCACGGGGGCGCAGTTGGCTCAAGCCAGACATACAACTGGACAGAAGTGAGGAAACCTTTCACAGAGAAGTAAATCAAAAGTAGATATGAGGCTTTGTTCCTTACTGAGGGCTGACTGGATTAAGGAACATGGGGTGTGGTTGTTTTGTTTGCAGACTGTTGCCATCCTTGCCTGCTATTCTCCTGACAAGAATTAGCTGTAATGAACACCTGTAAAACGTATGGGTTGGTAAGGAGAAGAAATCAATACACGGATGAGTCAGTACGAAGGTACATTAGGATCTTTCATCCTAAAGGGCTGGAGAAAAAGGCTAAAATGAGCTTTGTGGAAAGATCTGTAAGTAAGTTGTTTATGAGTGCTCTTATCACCAAATAGGACTTAGCTCTTTTTTTTTTTTTTTTTTTTCTTTTTTTGCAGTACCCGGGCCTCTCACTGTTGTGGCCTCTCCCATTGCGGATGCGCAGGCTCAGCGGCCATGGCTCACGGCTCAGCGGCCATGGCTCATGGGCCCAGCCACTCCGCGGCATGTGGGATCTTCCTGGACCGGGGCACGAACCTGTGTCCCTTGCATCGGCAGGCGGACGCTCAACCACTGCGCCACCAGGGAAGCCCTAGGACTTAGCTCTTATTCCATCCTATCTTCCACACTATCTTTTGGTTGGTTCTTTACTATATTGTAACACTCTGGTGTTCGGCTTCCATTTGGAGTTGACTCTCCTATTTCCCATTCTCTAAAGAGGGGCTAATGTCACTGTTACCACCTGAACGACCAGCCTGGCTGCCACCAAATCAAGACACTTGCCATGGCATGGTTACAGGTGGAAACCCCGTCTCTCTGTTGGATGCCACTGATAACATCCCTAATGAAACATGGTACCGCGATTGGGAAGGGAGAAAAAAGAGGAGGGGGTACTGATAAGGTAAGAAGATAAGCAGATATGTGAACTTGTTCCGAAAACTGGAAGAATTCGAAGCGCACCTTCTGACAACAGGTGGGAAGCATCATTTTTCAGGATTATTTTTACCTCTATCTCCTGATCTCCCAGAGTCAAGTAACAAAGTGACAGGAGGAGGACTCAGATGAAGAGTTTCAGCACTTGGCACATCTAAACCAATGCCATACTGTGCTGTCAGTGAGAAAGCTACTAAGCCAACTCGGGCTGCACTCACGGACACTCCGGGACTCAGGGAAGGACACGTTGGGTCAGTGACATTACGGCCTTCTCCTTGATATTCCACCAGGACATCCGATCGCCAAGTCAGATTACTAGCTCCTTTCTAGAAGGAAGAGCAAAAGTGGTTTCTGTGAGGCATGTAGACTGTGATAAAGATGTCATTCATTAATAATGTTATTCATTCTACTGCTACAGGGGACTTGGGAGTCAAAACAGATTGGACTGTTCGTTCAGTAACTGAAGGGAATGACTAAAACAGACATTTGAAGGCTACCGAATATCATGTTTGGTATTTATAGAGTCCTCACAAGTGATGTGAATTGCTTTGAGCATTTAATAGTTATCTCCCAAGACTACTTCTGTGAAGCAGGTCAGGAGCTAAACAAGAATCAAAGTCACAGGGCAAGGTGCTGAAGGTTCAGAACAGAATAAACAATACTGTCTGCAAACCCTGTAAGAGCTCTTCTAAGCTCATATTGAGAAATTCAACAGGGCTGGTGTGCTAAGGACTGTATTAGGGTTGAAGTACTTCTTGATGGTCAGAATGAAGACACCATACATACATAAACTCTACTTTTTGCTGCACATCAGTGGAGCAGAAGGAAAGAAGCAGCAGCATTTGCAATGGGAAGGTTTAAGACAGGTACACAGATGGTGAAAGGAGGAAGGATCTAGGAGTAAGAGGGAGTTTGGGATCAAAAGAACAACGTGAGCACAGGATGGAAGCAGAACACCTGGTGGTACGGGTTCCTGATATCCAGCTTTCAGACAAGGAAGCAGGTGGAGAGGCAGGCTGGTACCAAACTGAAAAAGGTCCTGATAGCAGGCTGCCCACTTGTTCTACAAAGAACAGCAGGTGATGGGAAGCTACGGGAAGGAGGGGTGGGGAAGGGGGTTTGAGCAGGGAAGTAACACAGTTAAGGCTGTGCTTTAGAAAAGTCAGCCCAGCAGCCGCAGAATCTGGAGATGGAGGGAAGACAGGCATGGGGAGGCCAGGTTAGAAGGGGCTCTTGAAATGGTCTGCAGCCTTAGTAGTCAAAGTCTGGTTTGTGGTCTATCAGCAACACCTGGGGGCTTGTTAGAAATGCACCATCTTAGTCCCTACTTTAGCCTTAACGAGCCAGAGTCTGCATTTTAATAAAATCCTCTGGTGACTCATATGCACTGTGAAATTCGAGAAGCACTGCTCCAAAACAATGGCGCTCAAACTGTGCCCCCAGCAGGATCAGCGTAGGCTGGGAATGTGTTACAAGCACAAATTCTTAACTGCCCCTGGGGGTGGGGAGTAATCTGCGTTTGAACCAGCCCCACAGGCACTGCTGATAAATGCTAGTTTGAGCACCACTGTTCTAAGGACCCGAGTGGACCTGTCTAGCCTGGTGACCACAGTGGGGAATGGGTGATGGCCTGCAAAAGGCCGTAGAAGAACGTATTTCCTAATCACTATTCTATGATGAAAGCCGAATAGTCCTGAGCCGATGAAGGTCTCCGAAACTGTGCGTCACAGGAGACTTCAGAGGCTGCCACTCCCCTGTAAGGAACCACTCTGCCAACCCCGAGCCACAGAAGCTGGGGGTCAAGGGAAAAGCTTATCTGTCAGATCTGAGTGGACCTCAAAACCCCACACTTCAATGTCAAAGTATGTAGGGGTAAAAAGAGTGCCCGGGAGGTCTAGAGCAGAGGCCTCTAACTGGGCTGCAAATTAAAACCACTGGGGGCAACTTGAAAATCCCAAGGGCCAGGTCACATCTTGGGCCAATTAATCAAGCTCACTGGGGCTGGGACCCAGGTGTTAGTATTTTAGTTTCCCAGGTGATACTAATGTGCCACCAAGTTTAAGACTGATGGTCAGGAGGGGTCATGGTCTGTGGCTTTACAGTCTCTGTTGCAACTATTCAATTCCGCTGTTGTAGCAGGAAAGCAGGCCAATCAGTACATACATGGAGGAGCATGGCTGTGTTCTGATACACCTTCATTTACAAAAACTGGGGGTGGGCTCGACTTGGCCCACAGGGGTTTGCCAATCCCCTGGTCTATAGCAGCCCTATCCAGCAGAACTTTCTGACTGAAATGTTCTATAGCTGTCGCCCAAAACAATGGCCACTGAGCAACTGAATTTTTCATTTTATTCTAGTTAATTTAAATAGTTTCACGTGGCTAGTAGCTGCCATATTAGGGCAGAGCTAGAGGTATAACAGCCACAAACTGCTCTGCAGCCCTAATACATCAGAGGTTTCACTGGACCAACCTCCAAAACAAAACAAGGCAAAGAGCCATTTCCAAAACTTTGCAGAGAAATTAACTATGAAATAACATAATGATTTTAGCCCTGTAGTAAAGGCTTTTTTTTCCTAATTAGAAATAAATAAGGTATACAGGTTAAGACTTGTATGGGAAGAGTTAAGAAATGTAAATTTCCCTCTATCTGATCTACAGATTCATTGTAATTCCAGCCGAAGCCCAAAATGATTTTCTAGGCCATCTGAAAAGCTGTTTTTAAAGTTTATAGGGAAGAGAGGTAACCGCCTCTTAGGATACCCCTGAGAACAATGAGACAGGTGTACCCACGCAAAGATTTAATTATACAGCTTTATAACAAGATAAAAAGATACTGGTTCAGGGAGAGACAGATCTGTGGAACAGAAAGGACAGCTGAGTATTTACAGAGAAAAAAATGAAACTGGATCCCTGACTCCTACCACGCAAGAAAACCAATTCTAGATACATCAAGGACTTGAATGTAGAGGCAGAACTACAAACCTTTCAGAAGAAAATTTGGGAGCATTGTTTTCTGACCTCAAGGTTCAGAAGCATTTTTATAAACAAGACACAAAGAACACTAACCATAAACTGAGATGATTTACACATTCAACTCCTGTGTTCTCATACCTTAATGTAGGGAAAAGACAACAAACAGCAAGAATATAATGGGCAAAAAGAGGCATTTCACAAGGGAAGAAACACAAAAGGCATAATGAAAGATGATTCACTGATCAAAAGCCCAGTTTAAAAAAATGGGTAAAGGATTTGAATAGACCTGTCTCCAAAAAAGACATACAAATGTCCAATAAACATATGACAAGATATTCAACATGATTAGTCATTAGGGAAATGTAAATCAGAACCACAATGAGTACCACTCACACCCACTAAGACGTAATAGAAAGACTGGTAACAGCAAGTGCTGGCAAGGACATGGAGAAACTGGAACCCTTTTACACTGCTGGTGGGAATATAAAAACGGTGCAATCACTTTAGAAACAAGCCTGGCAGTTCCTCAAAAGGTTAAACATAAAATCACCACATGACCTAGCAATCCTACTCTTAGGGATACACTCAGGAGAATGGAAAACATTAGTTTGCCCCCAAATTTATACACAAATGTTCACAGCAGTATTATTCATTATAGTCAAAAACGGGAAACAACCCAAATGTCTGTCAACTGATGGGTGGATAAATAAATGTGACACATCCACACAGTGGAATATTATTCACTAATAAAAAGAAAAGTACTGATACATGTTACAATGGGGATGACCCTTTTCAGCCAATCACAAGAGACCACACACTGTATGATTCTATTTCTAGAAAATGTCCACAGTAGACAAATCTATAGACAAAGTAGATTAGTGCCTGCCTGGTGCTGGGGGAGGGAGCAATGGGGGAGTGACTGCTAATGTATTTGGGGGTTTCTTTTTGGGGTGATGAAAATGTTCTAAAATTAAGATTATGGTGTGGCTGTACAACTCTGAATAACTGTAAACTTTAAACTTCTGAATTGTATAGTAAGTGAATTAAACTGTTAAAAAAATGATTCACCTCATTAATAAAGAAATGCACAATAGAACCAAATACAATTTTGATCTTTTTCACCCCCTAGATTGGCAAAAATTAAGTAGTCGGACAGTTTCATATAGAGCAAAGGGAATTCTCATAAGTTACTCGTGGGAATGTAAACTGATGACGATTTTGTACAATAACTTGGTAATATTTGTAGGAATGAACATGTGAGGTTCCTATAACCCTGGTGCATATACACATGCTCACTGGGAAACATGTATGAGAATTCTATAGAAGCAATGTTCCTAGAACAAAACTGGGAACACCACAAATGTACATTGACAAAAAAACATGATTAAGTAGTGATGCATTCCTTCTTACAATGGAATATTAGGCATCTGTGAACAATATGGATCAATTTGCAAACAATGATGAACTGAAAAAAGTCCTGATTACAACTGGTAGAGTATCACTTTTACAGTGCAAAACAAGACAGGTATTTTTCCCCCCAAGACAGGTATGTTGTTTAGGGACACATCCACGATAATTACTAAAAAATAAAAGCCAGAGATTAACAACCATAAAATTCAGAAAAGCGCTCATTTGTATGGGCAGGTAAGGGGTGGAATGGGGAGGAGCCCATAGGAAGATGCATCAGTATGGGGAATATTTCAGTTCTTAAATGGGGTGATGGGTTCATGGGTATTTCTTGTGTTTCATAACTTATGTGAGTTATGGGTATTCTCTTGTATGAATCATATATTACCTAATAATAAATTGTGATAGACTCAGACAAATCAATGAGGAAGAGTCATCTATAATGAGTACTGATCCTTCAAACTTCTCTATGCTTAAACATATTTACACACATACTTAATGAGAAAGATGCTGTTTTGAAACTTTTTCTCCCTGTAGTATGTGGTGGGCATCTTTCCAACTCAATGTATACATACCTACATCATTTAGTGTTGGTTTAATAGTCTGTTGTTTAATTGTGCCACAATTTGACCAATTCCCTACTGTATATTTAGGTTTTCAATATTCTTCTATTAATACATGTAGTTTTTATACTTAGCTCTGGGCAGTGCTAGGCGCTATGTACTCAAATATTTCCTTTTCTAAATTTTTATTTATTTATTTTTGGCTGCATTGGGTCTCCGTTGCTGCGCACGGGCTTTCTCTAGTTGCAGCAAGCAAGGGCTACTCTTCGTTGTGGTGCACGGGTTTCTCATTGCATTGGCTTCTCTTGCTGCAGAGCATGGGCTCTAGGCACATGGGCTCAGTAGTTGCGGCTCACGGGCTCTAGAGTGCAGGCTCAGTAGCTGTGGCGCATGGGCTTAGTTGCTCCGTGGCATGTGGGACCTTCCTGGACTAGGGCTTGAACCCGTGTCCCCTGCACTGGCAGGCGGATTCTTAACCACTAAGCCACCAGGGAAGCCCCCTCAAATATTTCTTGAATGAATTTTGTTTTCTTAAAATAAATTCTCAGATGGGACTGCTTGACGTGTATTTTGCAGTGATGGGTCTTGTTAAATTAGCCTACTGATAGCTTATACTGACTACACTTCAATGAACAGAGTCTGAGTAGCTTTCATTTTCTCAAACTTCTGTAAATACAGGGTATTAATCTTTTTAATCTTTGCCAGTTCTACAGGTGATAGAGGCCTCCTTTAGTTAAGCATTTCTTTGATCAGCACTGAAGCAATTTTTTGCACTGACTTTGGCCATTTTTAATTCCTCTGGGAGTTGACTATTCACTTCTTTTGCCCATTTTTATACTGGGATATTAATCTTTGCTTTTAAGAACTCATCTATTAAAACTAATTACCCTTTTTCACGTATGTTGCAAATATTTTCCCAATTTGTCACCTGTTTTGATTTTATGATGGGGCTTTTGGGGGAGAAGGGAAAAAGGGAGGATATAGAACTCTGTTCATGTGTGTCCCGTCTTTTTTTAAGAAAACTCCTTCCCACTACAGATAAGAGAAAAAGTCTATCCTCTGCTCCCCTAATTTAACAGCTTTAAGATTTAAATTTTAAGTCTACTTATATAACCTGGAATTTATTTCAGAATCTTGGCTCAGGCCTGATTTAGGGCTTTATACTCACCAAAATGGGCAAGAAAGACATCCCATCCATCTGTGTCTTATTCAGATTGTAGCCAGCGATGTCCAAAATAGTAGGACCCAAGTCAATGTTGGCAACGAGCCGCTATGAGAAAGAGGAAGAAACAGTCAACTGATCTAGAACACAGTTTGTCCCATTTTCCTTTTCTATCTATAATAGAGTTCTCTTCCCCGCAACCCACCTGTGAGATAAACAGCACTTACTATTATCTTTTGTACAACCCATACTTCCTATTGCATATATTTAAATATAACTATAATAATTTAAAATACAAAACATAAAGCCTTATAAAGTTTATAATACATGCTCCTGGGAAGTTAATGTTTATTCTACCCATACTGTTACCATTGATAAAAACATTTTTCAAGATTCCTTTAGGATTGCCTTGAGTCTGTTATGAACGATGAGAAAAATGTCGGGTTATTTTATACAAAGTGTTTTCCAACTTGATTATTCTTATTAGTTCACTAAACTTGACTTCAAATTGACTCCTGACGTTTTTTAAAGGCTTAAAGGTTGAATGCTTGTCACCAATGAGGATGTTAGCCTTTTTAATAGTTTTTTGAAGTGACAACACTGGTAAGGAATGTTTGCAGTAGTTTTTGAAGACTGCAGGAAACTCATCCCAACAATGCATCAATAAGTTTCCTTAAAGAGCACAAAACTTGGATGTTTTTATTTTTTAAATTTATTTTCCTTTTTTCTTTCTTTCTTTTTTTTTTTTTTTGCGGTACACAGGCCTCTCACTGTTGTGGCCTCTCCCGTTGCGGAGCACAGGCTCCGGACGCGCAGGCTCAGCGGCCATGGCTCACGGTCCCAGCCGCTCCGCGGCATGTGGGATCTTCCCAGACCGGGGCACGAACCCGTGTCCCCTGCATCGGCAGGCGGACTCTCAACCACTGCGCCACCAGGGGAGCCATTATTTTCCTTTTTTTAAAATAAATTTATTTTATTTATTTATTTTTGGCTGCGTTGGATCTTCGTTGCTACACATGGACTTTTCTCTAGTTGCAGAGGGGGCTACTCTTTGTTGCAATGCACAGGCTTCTCATCGTGGTGGCTTCTCTTGTTGCAGAGCATGGGCTCTAGGCGCACAGGCTTCAGTAATTGTGGCACATGGGCTTCAGCAGTTGTGGCTCACAGGCTCTAGAGCACAGGCTCAGTAGTTGTTGCACGTGGGCTTAGTTGCTCCGCGGCATGTGGGATCTTCCTGGACCAGGGCTTGAACCCGTGTCCCCTGCATTGGCAGGCGGATTCTTAACTACTGCACCACCAGGGAAGTCCCAAAACTTGGATGTTTTTAAACAAAGGTTCTAGAAATTAAAGACACTGTCCAGCATTTATACCTTGCCATATCTCCTTGATTTATTGGACTATTTTTCTTCTGTATACAATACCGCTACCAGGCCTAAACCAGCATAGTCCAAAGTCCAATAGGGATAGAACAGGAATCATACGTGTAATTTAAAATTGTCTAGTGACCACATTAAAGTAAAAAAAAAAAAAAAGAGGTGAAATTCACTGTAAATATTTAAATATTACTATTTCAACATGTAAGCAATACAAAAAAGTGATGAGATTTTACTTTAAAAAAACTTTTGAACCAAGTGTTTGAAATCTGGTATTTTACAATTATAACATCTCAATCTGGACTATCCCATATATGTTCTGGCTCAAGAACCACATGAACTTTTGTAGCAGAGAGTCTAGAAGTCACGTGGTCACAGGCTAGAAAAAGCCTTGGAGTGATGGAGACAATCCACGAGGGAAACGAAGGGAACTAGTGTTCACTGAGCACCTATTCTGGGCCAGTGCTTAATGCTTATCCTCATTTAATCCTCCCCACAGTCCTAGAAAGCAGTATTTTCCCAGTTTTACAGATGAGGAAATGAAAGAGAAGTAACTGACACAAAGTCAGCAGCCTGTAACTGGAAAAGCTGTCGTTTACTGGAAATAAATAACAGTCTTCAAAACTGTTGAGAGGGACTCCACTGGTGGTGCAGCGGTTAAGAATCCACCTGCCAATGTAGAGGACACGGGTTTAAGCCCCAGTCTGGGAAGATCCCACATGCGATGGAGCAACTAAGCCCGTGGGCCACAACTACTGAGAGCCCACGTGCCACAACTACTGAAGCCTGCTTGCCTAGAACCCATGCTCCGCAACAAAGAGAAGCCACCACAGTGAGAAGCATGCACACCACAACGAAGACCCAATGCAGCCAAAAAAAAAAAAAAACCCAAAAACTGTTGAGAAAACTCAGGTCATCTCAGGAGAAGCCAAATGGGGATTAGAAAAAAAATCTAATCCTATTACTTTTAATTTAAAAACAAAACCAAAGTACAGACATAAAAGGCAAGAAGCACTGTTCAGTAGCAGCCAGGTTTCCTGGACGGCTCCTGGAGGGCAGAGTGATACACATATCCTGGCTCTGAACCAATCAGTGTAACTCTGCAGCTGTTGGAAATTACCCTTCAGTGGCAGGCAACTCACGGGAGAAGCAATCCATATGTTGCTGAGGATAAAAAACACAAAAACTATGTCTCTAGGGATTACACAAGACCCGGTGTTAGAGATACCTTTCCCGGTTCCAAGTACCCCAGGCAGACTCTCCAGCGGCTTAGAATACAGCAAACAAGACTGAGTATGAATACGGAAGAGACCATAGCAGGAAAGGAGACAAGCAGAGACACCACCTCCAGAATCAGATAAAGGCAACAAGACTCCAAAATGTGACTGACAGATCTCCAGTGATGTCCAGAACATGAATGAAGTCAAGTCAGTCCCACAGGTATTATTAACATGTCCAAGGCACCAAAATAATAAAACCCACAGAGATAAAACAGTGACTGCCAGTCTCAGCAGGAATTGCCTCGAGCCATCAGCAATGGGTGGGAGCGCCCTCTAGTGGCAGTTTGCTCTGTGGGGGGAGGGGAGGAGAAAGGTCTGCAAGATTCAGGACAAGTCAAGTCGCTAGTTCGGCACAAGTACCATAAACGCCACCACCAGGACTCTTTCTTCCCAGGTATCTACAATGATCACATCCTCCCTAAAAATGATGGACAAATTCTCTCCCTACTGGGTTTTGTTTGACTAAGACGTAGAGTCTCAAAATTAGCATACAATGTCAGGAGATGGGAGACTTCTAGTAGATACCAAGTATGAGTGAAGAATTCAAGAGAGAATTATACCTCTCTCTGGTTTTTATACAGCCAAGGATTAGAATGGATACTATGAGCCCATCACCCTAATGACATCTAGAAACATTAGCATTTCAAGTTCCTAAAATGGTATTATTGCTTTTATCACTGACTATAAAGATCCATTTAAGGACTGGAACAGAAAACGCTCTGACAAGACCAAGTAAATTATTTCATGAATCACAGCCTCACAGTTTGTTTGGGAATGTTCTTAGGATTAAAGTATATATACATTTTGATCAAATATAAGGCCCTAAAAAACTCTGTGGGGCATGAGATCGAGGGATATCATGCCTTGAACCTGCTTATTTTTTTAGCTCTGGAAGAAGGACAGTACTGCAGAATTACCCAAAAGAATAAGGGCTCCCAGGAGGGTACATCAGGTTTTCAAACAGACTTTTAAGCCCTGATGTTAAAGAATTCACGTAAGGCTTTCAAAAAAAAGACTCAAAGCACACCAGAGAGCACCCCAAATCCATCTATTGAAGAGATATGGAGATAAGTGTATATGTATAACTGATTCACTTTGTTATAAAGCAGAAACTAACACACCACTGGAAAGCAATTATACTCCAATAAAGATGTTTAAAAAAAAAAAAAAAGAAAAGCAAAGCACTGAAAGCAGAGAACTCTACACGTCTTGGGCTGCTTCATCTGGATTTGCCCCTCACGCCCCACTTCCCTAACAAGGAGTAAGCCAGGGCGTCACCTAGTTGCACTTGAGAATTTGCCCTTAGCATCCTCCCAGTTTCACATGGGGAAACCAAGGCTTAGTCTGTCCAAAGTCTTAAAGCCAATAAGTGGTCTTCCTGACTCCCAGTTCGGTTTTATTTCCCCTGGATCATGCTATGTCATTTCCATTTTCGTACTAACCTTTTCCTTTCTTAAAGCCCGTTTGAAGAAATTCTACCACCAAATCTAAAGCTAGATTAATTTATAGCCAGAGGAGAAGACCTCAGCAGCCAATGTTTGGCATCCACCCATACCACCTGCCCCTGGCTCACCCCAATAGCCAACACAAAGCCAGATCCACTGGTCAAACGTGTCCTATTTTGGCTACTGGGCTGTTGCCAGCACAGCTCATTATGCTCAACTCACCACCCTGTGGCCCTCACACAGAACCTGCACCAAGAAAAGTCTGCTGCCAGCACACGATGAATCACCCACCACCTCTGACACACTGTGTTAGATGGAAGCAGGGCACTTCATACTTCTCAAACCACAGAGTGTCAAACACCATGGTTGTTTGTTGTTTTTTTTTTTTTTTTTTTTTTTTGGCCACGCCGCTGTGGGATCTTAGTTCCCCAACTAGGGATTGAACCCAGGCCCTCAGCAGTGAGAGTGCAGAGTCCTAACCACTGGACCGCCAGGGAATTCCAAAAAAAACCATGGAAGTTTGAGAACAGACGGTTCATTTTCAGACCTGGTTTTGCCACTTACTGTGTGACCTTGGTAATATATCCATGCACACAACTTGGATGTCACCCATTGTATGTTAAGGGCTGGGTATTCTTTTTTTTTTTAAATTACAGTTGATTTACAATGTGTTAATTTCTGCTGTAGAGCAAAGTGATTCAGTTATATGTGTATCTATTCTTTTTCAAATTCTTTTCCCATTTAGGTTATTACAGAACACTGAGCAGAGCTCCCTGTGCTATACAGTAAAAGGAACTTCTTGTTTATCCATTGTATATATAATAGCTTACATGTGCTAACTCCAAACTCCCACTAAAAGCTGGGTATTCTAAGTTCAGGTAATACCTCTCAACTAGGGACTCCTAGAGTTAAAAAGACAAACTCAGTCGGGTGTGGTAAGTGTGAGGCCAGCTGGGAAGCTGGGAAAGGCACCCACTCCACGTGGGGCGGGGGTCTACAGTGACGTTCATTTAGGGGAGCCCTAAACCGAAGCCCCGAAGGACAATGAACTTAGCCAGGGGAAAGGGGCATGAGGTGGGCATTCACACAGAAGGCGCAGCCAGCTGTACAAAGGCAAGGAGGTGAGAGAGGTGATCCAAGTAGGAAGTAAAAGTAGTTCAGGACAACTGCCACCTTCTGTCCCTTGAACAGGCCAAGCTCATTCTCCTATCTGTGCCCTTCACATGCACTGTTCTGCCGCTCAGGATACCCTCCCACAGATCTCTGCACGACTCAATCCTTCTTGACACCCGGGTCTCTGCCCAAATGCCTCAGAGACTTTCACCGACAACTGAAGCTCAGGTATCTGGCTCCCCCTGACACAGGGAGTTAAGAACTGATCTTCTCTGACTGCTCTTGCTGTGGCTCCAAGGCTCCTGGTATACTGCGCTGGCACAGGAAGATACTGAAGAAATACTGTTGTCTGAGCTGTAGTGTAATGGTTGAGTGTACGGACTCTGGTTAAGTGTATAGCAGCCAGACTGCCCGAGTTCAAGTGCAGGGCTCTGATATTCGTTGGCTACATCATCTTGGGTAAATCGCTGAACTTGTATACCTCAGTTTCCTCATCTGTAAAATGGGGATAACAGCATTCATATCGCATAAGGCTGTGAAGGTTAACTGAGTTGATACAGGTAATACACTTGGAACAGCACCTGTCACATCCTAAGCATTCAATAACGGTTATTATTGTTGAAATGGCTTCCTAGGACCTGGTTTCACTTAGATGGCTTAGAGAAAGTGAAGTTTCTGATTGTAACATGGAGTGCCACTGTTAACTTGAAGGAAAAAGGAACAGTCTGTTCGGTGGGCAGCTGGCTGACACATCATTCTGTTCTCATCAGCCGCCTTCCCCACACCGGTCAGACGTGGCCCTGCTCCTCAGAATTGCACACAGGTGCAGACACGCTCTCCTCAACCAGCTCCCCACACCAAGATCAAGAAAACACTTTTAAGGCTGAATGGTCTTCCAAGCTTGCCTACCTCCGTTGACAGAAGAGGCCTGTTTAGAGGGTAATGAATTTGTAGTGGAAGGTGACTGCCTTTAGGAATGTGGGTCTTAAAAGAAAAAGAAAATTCAAAAGGCACTTATGAAGGCCATTTTAAGTTTCCGAGAGAATTTGAACAGAATTCCATCAAGAGCATTGTGAAAGGAAATAAGTGAATGACAGACATTTAAACAGAGTAAACATTACACCCCCAAGTTAAACTCAAGCACCAGTATACCCAGAAATTCTGACCTATTTTTCCAATTTTAGCTTAAAGAATCCATTTGCTGGGCTTCCCAGGTGGCACAGTGGTTGAGAGTCTGCCTGCCGATGCAGGGGACATGGGTTCGTGCTCCGGTCCGGGAAGATCCCACATGCCGCGGAGCGGCTAGGCCCGTGAGCCATGGCCGTTGAGCCTGCGCGTCTGGAGCCTGTGCTCCGCAACGGGAGAGGCCACAACAGTGAGAGGCCCGCACACCGCAAAAAAAAAAATAAATAAATAAATCCATTTGCTCATTTTCTTTTGTCTCACAGAGCTGGGACTGAAATTGTGGTATTAGGGAAGAGAAAACAACTGGTAGAGCCTATCAATTCTTATCTCCCAACATTGGACCAGTGTTTTGGATCAAGGTGCCCATGAACTCTAGGAACAAAGTACCTCAGTATTAGGAACTCAGTTTGAAACCAAATGGAAATGGTAACAAAAGAACGTGGTACTTTATGACAGTACTAGGAGACAGAATCAGTAGAGTAGAAAGGCATTAGTGAGGAAGAGTCCCACAGGGAGGGGGACTAAATTCTCAGACAACACCCTTTCTGTAGCCTTATACTCAGAGGGAGGTCAGACCGGCAGCAGACATCACCTGGGAACACCTGGGAGCAGGCTGGAATGCAGAATCAGAATCTGCATTTCAACAAGGCCCCCAGGGGATGTGCACACACAACAAAGCCTGAAGAGCTTTGCTCTCCCGGGCTATGGGCCCCAAACTGGGCTGCCTCTCAGAATCATTGTGAACTTAAGAAAAAAAGCAGAGGCAGGGATTCTATTCCAGTTCAAGTGAGTCAATCTCAACCTTTCTAGATGTTGAGCCTTTCAGTTTCAGAAGGTAGTTTTGATGAGCACCCTGGTGGAGAGTCACGGCTCGAGGACCAAGTAAAAATCTAGTCTCAAAACACAAGCAAAAGCTCTTCATGCTAATATGATACATATACATCTAATAGTGGGTGGCCAGCAGTTTACTGGTATTATGCTAAGTGAAATATGTCAGACAGAGAAAGACAAATACTGTATGATATCACTTATACGTGGAATCTAACAAATACAACAAACTACTGAATATAACAAAATATAGAGAACAGATACAGAGAACTAGTGGTTACCAGTGGGGAGATGGGATGGGAGAGGAACAATATAGGAGTAGGGGATTAAGAGCATTAGGTATAAAATAAGCTACAAGGTTATGTTGTACAACACCGGGAATACAGCCAATATTTTAAAATAACTGAATGGAGTATGACCTTTAAAAACTGTGAATCACTATATTGTACCCCTGTAGCTTACAGAATATTGTACATCAACTATACTTCAATTAAAAAAAAAGAAAGAAAAAAGAATCACTGTTCGCAAGGCTTATAAATACACTTGCAAAAAATCTTAAGCCAATCAGCCTTCATCCTCAAAGGAGGAGAGATTGAATCAGCCTCCTCTTAGGAGGAAAAGCTTTCTTTCCTCAGGCAAATGCTACATCACCTTGTCAGCAACCTACCTTGCTTGTCTGATTTGGTTTGATCCCAGGCCCTCGAACCAACAGTGGAACTTTGATATCAAACTCATACAGCTGTCTTTTGTCTATTGGCAAAGAAAACTGTCCTGAAAAAAAAAATGCATAGGGTAAAGATGGAACCGAGATAGAAATGTCACTCATGCATGCATTCATTCAAGAAACAGTAAAAATCAAAAACAGCCTTGTTCTACTAATTATGGGGTTTTAATGGAAAGCTTAAATTTGCCTGGGTCTCTTATTACTACAAGGCAGGAAACAATGAGCTCATCTTTAAAAAAAAAAATGCCTAGAGGGACACCCTGGTCTAAAATAGGCAAATTCAGCAAAAAGAATGGCTAGAAAGTATTTGAAGCAAAGATACGCTATTTATGTATGATACTCGACCTGATCACAATGGAATGAAGTTACTCTAAAAGCTGCTAAATAAAGGGAGAAAACCATTTATCCAGCCTTTCCTGAATAAACTCTATTTCAAGATAACCAAACAGCTGGTGAGGGGAATTTCCTGAGGAATTCCAGCCAGTAAATTCAGAAGGACAGAGTTATGAAGTCAAACTTCACAATTTCTGAGGGAACAGATTTAAGCAACAATCATCAATGGACGTTTTAGCCACAAAAGGTTCATAGGATGGGCTCAGGTTGATACCACAGGAGCCATCAAACAGTAACAGCATCCCTAAAGTGAGGCAACCAGACACCCCAGCGGCATGATGTGAATGAAGCAGTAAGAAGTACGTGACAGCATCAACTAGAGAGCATTCTTGTTGAACTTCTATTAAGACTCTAGATCTAACTACCAATCTATAGAAAATGTTGAGTATAGATAAACGAGTTAAGGCATCACATGAGCAGTTAGCTACAACTGGAATGTGAGATATTCTAAAGGACAGAAGACGAGTTTTCCCAATAAATCGGTGGCAAAGGACAGCCTTAAGACACATAAAAACTAAAGGGAGCGTGTGGACTTTGTGTAGGTTCTGATAGCTAATCAACTAGTCAGGTGCAGAATCAAGTGTTGACATATGGAATCACAACATCTGGAGTTTCTTCAAAAACTTATAGCTAAAACAGAAACATGAAGAAGGTATGAGGAATTCAAAAGACTGGTCTCGTGCCGCTGGAAACCAAAGCTGGGCAATGGGAGTTATTTTACTAGTCTCTACCGTGCGCGCTTAGAAATATTCATAACACCGCAGGAAACGCCTCATCAATCTGCTCCTGTGCAAGCAAACCTCAGGCTAATTCCCTTCCAGTTTCGGAAATTTAAAAGAGTGGAGAGAGAAAAAAATACTTATTTTTAACTAGAGGAGGTCCAAGAAGAAAGGATGAAAGTCAAGGACACGGGGGTGACTCATACTGCAGTTGTGAAAAGAAACACAAAGCAAAACTCACACACACCAAAACACCTCATTTCACAGGAAAGTTCTTCCCCAGGACAACCCTCTCGTGGTCTTCCTGTGTCAAATGTCATACCCCTATTCCCTGAGATCCACCCTCCTTAAAATCTAGCTCAATTTCTCACCTACTTCATAAAGCCTGCCTCTAGCTCATCAAGCTCACTCTCTGCTCAGGCTCCTTGAACACCATGTAATTCGGCCTGTGAAATAGCAAATAATGAAACCTGGTCTCTCACCAGGGGAAATGAGTGGGCCCTCTAACCAGAGGGGCCCTGAGGGCAAGACCCTCCCTCTGGCCCGTCCACTGCCACAAAAGGACAGGAGCTCCCTGCCAGTGCTACGGATTGAGCGAGAAAGGAAAGGCACCTCGCCAAGGTCATGGTGCCCCTTACCTGTGTGATAGCCATTGTCTGAGGTGTAAAAGATGTAGGTGTCATTGAGCTCCCTGCTGAACTCCAATCGCTTGACCAGCTTCTCCACAAGGTCATCGACTGACAGCAGAGTCTGCCACCTGGATGTGAACAGAGGGCAGCAATGGGACTTCAGAGACAATGCTGAGGTACTGCCATCTTGCCAAAAAAGCGAAGTCCAAAAAACACCCCAAAACCAAATCGAAACAAAAAAACTCCCAACCTCCTTCCCAAAAAAAACCCCTCAGAGCCACTCTCCCCAAAAGCTCAAATCCCCTATTTCCTTTCCTTCCATTCATTGCAAAGCACAGATTAGAAAACTCCAGAACACAATTAGTTGATTCCAAATTTAACCGATTCTACAGAAATAAATGAGGGTTTTTATAACCAGTTAGCTTTATTATTTATCATGGCTGAAGATGAGAATAAAAGACTATTGGAAGGGAAAGTTGTCAACTCAGCACTGACTGATAGAGATGAATTCAGATAGACCTGGCTACAACAATGTTTAATGGTCGAACTAGGGGTCAGCAAATGATAGCCATGGGCCAAAGCTTGACCACTGTCTGTGTTTTTGTTTTTAACTGCGGTACAAAACACATAACATAAAATTTACTGTTTTAACCATTTTTAAGGGTACAGGTCGGTAGCGTTAAGTATATTCACATAGTGGAACAGATCTCCAGAACCTTTTCACCTTGCAAATCTGAAACTCTACGCCCATGAAACAACAACTCGCTGTTTGCTTTATGTATAAAGTTTCACTGTAGCACAGCCAATGCTCATTCATTCTTGTCTTGTCCAGGACTGCTATGCGCTCCAACAGCAGAGCTGAGCAACAGTGACACAGACTATACGGCCGACAAGCCTGTAATATTTACTATCTGGCCCTTCACAGAAAGTTTGCCAACCCCTGGTCTAAAACTAAATGCACCTTAAGAGAAAGTAAGAATTTCCTGAAAACTAAAAACTGCAAAGGCAAATATTCTGCTCTAGCCTAAGCCTTTGGGTCTCAGGCAAATATTGGGGCTAATCTCTCACAAAGCGACCTTTTATTATTATTACTATTTTTTACATCTTTATTGGAGTATAATTGCTTTACAATGGTGTGCTAGTTTCTGCTTTATAACAAAGTGAATCAGTTATACATATACATATGTTCCCGTATCTCTTCCCTCTTGCGTCTCCCTCCCTCCCACCCTCCCTATCCCACCCCTCTAGGTGGTCACAAAGCAGTGAGCTGATCTCCCTGTGCTACGTGGCTGCTTCCCACTAGCTATCTATTTTACGTTTGGTAGTGTACATATGTCCATGCCTCTCTCTCACTTTGTCACAGCTCACCCTTCCCCCTCCCCATATCCTCAAGTCCATTCTCTAGTAGGTCTGTGTCTTTATTCCTGTCTTACCCCTAGGTTCTTCATGACATTTTTCTTCTCTTAAATTCCATATATATGTTTTAGCATACGGTATTTGTCTTTCGCTTTCTGACTTACTTCACTCTGTATGACAGACTCTAGGTCTATCCACCTCATTACAAATAGCTCAATTTCGTTTCTTTTTATGGCTGAGTAATATTCCATTGTATATATGTGCCACATCTTCTTTATCCATTCATCCGATGATGGACAAAGGTTTCCAACCTTTTCTTTAGATATAGAAAATTGTTAAAAAAAACCAAATGGCTCCAATTTGCAATGTTTTAACAAGTCATAAAAACGGACTGTTTAATTAGACCTGAGGTCCAAAGACCACCTTGTAGCTAAATGTAAAGACCTCCCATCAGAGTCTCTCCCAACATCTTGCTACCCTCTGATTTTTTCTCAGAAATAACCATGTGGTGCAGTTCCCTGTTCATGGGCTGCTTCTGAGGGTCCTCAAAGACCACCTAGACTGGAAAGGAGCAGCTCTTACCTTTTCCTAAATGCATTATCTAAAAACTGTATTGAAGAATTAGTCATTGGGGTCTTGGCTTGCCTAATTAACCAGTGCTTGTTCTAAAATTTAAAAGAAAAACAGAAGTTAACACCAAGTCACCACAGTCAAACTACTAGAATAGATAATGAAAAAGATGATTTACTCGAGCAAAAAAGGAACTAACTGGAGCCTGTTTAAGCAACTTCAGATTTTCCCTCCACCACCCACCCCCACTTCCCTCCCCTGTGTTGGTAAAAAAAACTTTCTGCAAATTATCACTCATTCTTTAGCTTCTTCTCATCACCTCCTTAATGGCAGAAGGCCTGGGCTCCTTTGTTAGCAGCTTTAATAAGAGATTTTGTGAAAGATACTGGAAACTACTAACCAGAAGATTAAATTTATAACTTGGGTCTACCACCCAAACTCTAAAAGGATAAATATCCACTTTACCTTCCTCTAAGTTTTGTCTAATAAGTCATCATTCCATGGCCCTCTATCTTTCCTACCTAAGATAGTGATCATCCTTGGACCTTGGGAAAAATTTCATCATAGCAATTTCCTAAAACTTCAAGTCCAAATCTAGAGGATGCTTCTCATATAAATAAAAGAGTCACAGTTAAAAAAAAAAACACACAAAACATTGCCAAATACCATTTATTCTCTCCTCCCCATTCATAAAACCCTAAGCTGCCATCTTGCAAACTGTGATCCTCAAAGCCTTCTTTAGTTAGCACGCTTGACAAATGCTACAGAGCATCTCTTCCTGCTGCAAATTCACGTCAGAACACGAATAACTGAGAAATCCTGTAGCAGAGTGACTTATTTAACCTGAAGTTTCTAATCTTACTTAGTCATGGGAACTTCTATGAACTTCTTTTGGAACACAGAGAGAATGGCACCCAGGTTTCAAACTCGGTTCACTCATCTTTAATGTCATCCATGGCAAGCACATGCCTACAATGTGCCAGGAAACATGCTAGACGCTTCTGTGTATTTTAATCCATACAAGAGTTGCAGGAGAGGTCAGGATCCCCGACTTTAGAGAGAAAAATGCAAGTTAAGCATCTTGCTCATGGTCAGGTCACTTAGCTAGAAAGCGGTAATACGGACTCTAACTCCAAGACTCATTCTTTATACCACCTCGCAAGCAACTAAGATTTCTGGGTAACAGGCATGAGGCAGTAGAAGCTTTCTGCTTCTGAACTAGCAAACTGCCCATCTCCTGTGCCATAGGAAGGGTAAGTGGTATATGAAGTGAAGAGTATTTAGGTCATGGCCTGCTCTGGCTCATTTCTCCATTCAACTTCCCTTCCCAATCACGTTGCACTGTGTCACCCCTCTTCTTCCTACGCCTCGGGCCTGCTAAGGGCCACCCAAAGGAGACTGCTGCAGGCCCAGCTCAGCCCCAAGGGACGTGTCTCAGCCACTGCCGGGCAGGAGGAGTGCCAGCACAGAGGTTATCAAAAGAGCCTGTAGTCAGGAAAGATGGCATTTGTTTACCATTGTCCGCCGGCTCTCCAGCTGCCCACTGGGTGTGTGGCACGAACCCTATCTGACTTCTGAAGCAAGCGTGTACTACCTAGTATGTTAGCGACAGGTGCAATCACCTTTAAAAGGTTTAGAAGGAAGAGCAACTATATGATTCAAAGGCTCCCTGGCAAGTATGTGACACAACTAATCACATCGAGCGTGGCCTAATGCAAGGGCTAGGGGAAGCTACCGTTCCGTGGATGTTGAAGTTCTTGTTTCTTGGTGCAAAGACGTTCTGGAAGGTGTTCTGGTACTGAGGTGCAGCTGTCCAAGGCGAATGAGGTGCCGGAGTGGAGATCATCATGAAGAATGGCTCAGAGTTGGACTTGTAGTCCAGGAAGTCCAAGGAGACATTGGCCTGACATATACAAAGATTTGTCATTGCTTACCCTACTTCACAGTTGAGGACCTGATAGATACCTGTTCTCTGGTGAACAGGGGTACAGGGCCCTATTAGCTTTTCCACCAATCTTAGCATACAATGTATGTCACAGTCACTTGCAAGCGTGTTGCTGGAACAGATCGTCTGGCTTTCAGGCAAACACAATAAAAAATTGAAAAGCACACCATCGAAGAAAGCAATTAGGATTTTGATGATTTTACATGACCTTAAAATTGTTATGCCTCCCATAAGGAAAAAAAATAGTAATTTGGCCATTTTAGTATTAACTTATATTAATGCAGCTTAGAGTATATACATTTGATGCTTTAAAGAACATAAAAAGAGAGCCAACCTAATTCACAACAGTGGGAAAAGTGAATTCAGTTACTGTAATTTTACAAAAATATGTAGAGAGTAGATATCCTTAGTTGTGCCAGCTGAAGTAGCTAAACTAAGTGAGCAATATTAAGTCTAAATACACCACACCAGGGTTTTAATTTATATGGACTTAAAATTTTCATTTGCTTCCCTGGAGATACTTTACGAAAATGAAAGCTTCCCACACACATGCTGTGTTTTTAATTTCCTAGTTGATTTACATCTTCATTTATTCCCAACACTAAACTCAAAAGATACTATCAATTTCTTATCACCATCCCATCCCCTTACTTTACTCCAGCCCTGTCAAGAAACCCTGTGGTTTCTCCAACCTGCCACGCACACTCCTGGTTCAACACCCTCACGCTTTCTGTTCCCTTTGCCTGTGGCACTCTTTCCCCTGACCTGTATAGCTCACTCTCATCTCCTTATGATTTTGCCTAAATGTTATCTACGTAACTCCCATCCCCTGCCTTATTTCTCTAACTAATCGCCATCTAACAAGACAACACACATATGGGTAAATAAAATCCTCCACTAAAAGGTTACCGTCCACAGAATCAAGGACTCTGTTTCATTTACTGCTGAACACCTGCTATAATGGGTGCTGAAGTACTTGGTGAATGAATGCCCTATGGGGGGGGGCTGTCATTAGATACATCTTAGACAGGAAAGGACAGTCCCAAATTCCCGTCCCAATTTCAGTATTTTTTATGTATAATATACAATGCCTGAAGAACTCCCCTATCCCTATCCTGCCACCCTCATGATGAAGCTGCCATCTTGTAGCTTGTGAGTAAAACTGGGATCAAGAGTAGGAACCCCTACAAAGTAAAACCTCTTCGAAGTAATCTCTATAGTCTTAGAGATTACCCTTTGGAAAAGGGATTTTCTGCTGGAATTTCAAGAACATTAGATCTGAGCCTGGCTTAATTACAAAGAAAAACACCCTCAGGAGTTTTTATTTTAATCAGTTGGAAATATTATTTGGCGGTTAGACCAAGTTATTATTCATGTTACCCAACATTAACAAATACAAGTAAAGATTTTCTAGGCAGAGAGTTTAATTAAACATGAGCTAAAGTGCAAGGACAGAGCTTCAGTAACTCACCAAAACATCTGTCAGGTAGTCCACACTGTAGTTTTCACCATGCTTCCGTGCCTTCCCATTGATAGAGAGGGTATAATTATAGTATTTAGAATTCTTTTCCTATTAAAGAGAGGAAAGTAAGATTTTTTATGAGGTCAGCACACAAAATGAAAGTTGGAAACCATGCTGGGCTAAACTATACTCTGTTTAAATAGTGGTAAGACAAAAAAAAAAGGTAATTGCTCAAGTCAATATTGAATTGGACTTTATGACTAGGGTTTTATTAACTACTAGCACAGTTTCAATAATATGTCCTAGTTTAAAAAGCCAGAAATGGATCCGGTAGAACAGCAAAATATGTTGCTAAACCTTGTGGAATGCAAGAAAAGTATCCCACAAACAGAGTGACTCACAAATCAACAGACTTTCTTTTAAGGAGACAAAATGGTCAATCGTAAAAGCAAACCAAATAATGTCAACATCAGAGCTACAGCAGAAAGTAAATAGCATCTGCACGGCTGTGCGGAATTGCCGCTGACTTCATTAATCACTCACCAAGGCATACCAGTAACTCCAGCCCAGAGGAACGTGTGCTAGTCCACCTGCATCTGGGGCTCCATACTGCAAAGCAAAACAGGCAGCGCATTAGAAGTGCTTCGGACGTGACCAGACCAGAAGGAAACAGGAAACTTTCAGAATCTTTTTAGATCAGTGCCTGAAACATGGTAGGTGCTCCATCTCCTCAAACACATAACAGTCAAAAAGTAAAGAACACTATTGTCCTAGGAACTTCTGAAGCAGGAGTTGGCAAACTATGGCTGCGGGCCAAATCTAGCCTGCCTACTGTTCTGTGGGGCCAGCAAGCTAAGAATTTTCTTCCAAACATTAAAAAATATAAACACCAATCAAAATCAACTATACTTGAATAAAAAAAAAAACAATCAGGGCTTCCCTGGTGGCGCAGTGGTTGAGAGTCCGCCTGCCGATGCAGGGGACACGGGTTTGTGCCCCGGTCCGGGAAGATCCCACATGCCGCGGAGCGGCTGGGCCCGTGAGCCATGGCCGCTGAGCCTGCGCGTCTGGAGCCTGTGCTCCGCAACGGGAGAGGCCACAGCAGTGAGAGGTCCGCGTACCACCAAAAAAAAAAAAAAAAAAAATCAAAAGAGGAATATTTTTGTGACAAGTTGCATAAGATTGAAATTTCAGTCACGGTGAGGTTTTACTGGAACACAGGCACACTCATTGGTTTATGTAAGTCTGTGGCTGCTTTCCTGCTACAACAGCAGAACTGTAGAGTCACTATAGAGACATATGGCCTGCAAAGCCTGAAATATTGACTTCTGGCCCTTTACAGGGAAAGGCCACATAGCTTAGGCCACATGGCTCATTTGCTGAGCTACTGATGGCCTAGACTGAATGGTCCAGCCAACCTTGTGGCTAACAGCCCAAATCATCAGACTACAAGCTACCAGCCTATCACTTCAGCTGTCCTGCTGGTGAAGTCTACTTTTGGACTCAATTTATCTGATGAGATGAATTAAGTGAAGAGACCACAGAATCATCCCATTTTATCTCGACAAGGCTTAATACTGCCCATTTAAGGCAGTGCCTCTAAGAACTAAATCTTTGTTATTATTATTATTATTTTTGGCTGTGTCTACGACACGTGGGATCTTAGTTCCCCAACCAGGGATCGAACCCGTGCCCCCTGCATTGGAAGCACAGAATTTTAACCACTGGACCGCCAGGGAAGTCCCCTAAGTCTTTGTATTTTGAAGAATTTCTAATTTTGTATATGTTAGATGATCTTCAACATGCAAAGTAGTGTAAGGTCTCTTTATGACCTATAGCTTTAACCCATCACAGTGCTCATGATTCTTTTCAAACTGACTCATTTTTCATCAAATCCACAAGGCTGCAAATCCCCCAACTGTTGTGGGGAGGGGGAGAATTAACAAAATTCAGATCAGATATTAAGATCTCTAGCAACCACAGATGAAGTACATAAGAAAACGTGCATCTTCTCTTTGTCCTGAATCCCCAGTTTTATTTTAAGAGATAACCCCAAACACTCTCAAACTCATTATTTCTTTTAAGCCTGAACTTCGACTAAATGCTAAGGCCAATGTGGTGGACCCGAGGCCCTGAAATCTGGCTTTGGCAGGTCACAGTGAGGCCTCCCTCCATCCAGGCCCTCAAGGCCAGCACACTAACCACTCGGCCACATGCTTCAATGGTCTGAATGTCTCAGGCTCTGCGTGCTTTTCCTTCATCACTGATCTCTCCACAATCTGCTCCCAGTTTTCAGAAAGTGGGTTAACCATTAAGCTGCTATAATTCAGGAAAAGATGCCCAGAGGAAAAAATTCTTCACTCCACTCCTGATAAAGGGGGAAATGGAAACAAAGATACCATGACAGCCAAAGGACAAGCAGAATTCTTGAGGAAAAGGGGGAATATGCATCAGACCACAGCAGTCCTAAGACAATTTTTAAACAAATGCTCCAGAGACTATTTAAAGAAAGAATAACCACAGTGCCCAAATCATGTAAATACGTTCATGTAAGTTCTGGTTTAACAGGCAGATTAAGAGAAAACAACATATACCAAAAACCGTTTAACATGACTTGAACAGATGCTAATTAAAAAACAATTAACATGAATCATACTAATTCACATTCAAGAAGCTGTTTTTTAAAAAGAAAGAACGGGAATAATTAGATCATTCAACATACCTCATTTAAGTATTTCCCTGCAAAAAACGTTTGATAACCACACATTGATCTGAGAATTGCTGGGAAAGTATCTGGTTCTTGGATCTTCTGCCAAGACTTACTACTGCAGTTTCCCTCCAAAGTGTTGTTAACGACGTGATGGTTATGTGGGTACTTCCCTGTCAGGATACTGGCTCGGCTTGGACAGCAAAGAGCGCTTGGCACATACTACAAATGGAAGAGAAGCAAAAAAGGCAAAGTTACACAAGACAGACGGATTTCTCATCATTTCTAAACAGAAAGCAAGCTGCTCAATGCTCTGAAGTCAAATTTCTAGTTTCCCATGGAGTAGAGGTTTTCTTTATACATGACACATTTCAGAGCTGCTTTAAGTCCCCTAGTGGAGACAGTAAAGCAGATAGAACCCAGGAAACATTTCTTTTTCAGCTGGTTTCTTTCTACAGGATAACCTAAAGTTCTAATTTCATCTGCCAAAGAAATATTTACATGCAAGGAATACAGCATGGTGGGAGCTAGGTCTTGAACAAAGATAAAGAATACTACTTGAATCTAATGTGGCAGAGAAGTAGAGGTTCATTTTCAGGCTGATCTGTGGCTTTATACATTTTTTGCATCACTTTATACACTGGACACAAATTTTTTTTCCTACTCTAATTATGCTATTAGCTCCTGTGATCAACAGAATTATCCTATTCAACCCAATGTTTGTCTAGGTCTTAATACTCATCACCGATCCACTTTACAGAAGGGTAATAGTAGCTTATACTCGCACCAGCAGGGAGGGAATGCTCATTTGAGCACGCCCTTGCCAGAATTACATATTATCCCTTTGAAATACTTAGCATTTCTTTGGCCTTTCAAACTGGATTTGGCATTTTTAAATACCGGTGAGGATGAACGTTCTCCTCATGCATACTGACCAACTGTGTTCATGTGAATGGTTTGTTCATGTGCTTTGCACATTTTCCCCTCTTGTGACATAAAATTTGAGTTAAGGAAGGATTCAATCATGTTACAAATACTTCCCGTTTTTTTACTTTTGCTTTTTGAGTTTGTTACATGTTTGACTTTTATAATTTTCACATTGGCAACTCTTTTAATTCTCTCGCTTTTATATTTCCTGACCTATTTTTTGGCCAATGCCACACTGCTCACTGGATCTTACATTTAGTATCCAGTAGGGAAATCTCTTCCTTTAAACATTTTACCTTGATTATTCTAACCTATTTATTATTCCAGATAACTTTTGAATCACTTAATTCAGCCTAAAAAAAATCTTGCTGGGATTCTGATTAGAATAAGCATTTTATAATCTTGCATCTTTCCACTCAAAATGATGTGCATATCTATGTATGAAGTATTGGGTTGGCCAAAAAGTGCGTTCGGGTTTTTCCGTAACATCACCTGTAATGAACTTTTTGGCCAACCCAATACTTTATCACTCACAAAATTTTGTAACTACATTTATAGGTCTTAACCATTACTGGCCACCACCAGCTATTCCTAGAGTCTATATTTTCCTGCTGTATAAGTGGGATCTTCTCTCCCCCATGTTTTTCTAACTAGTCATATGGAAGAAAGTTACTTCTATTTTTTCATTTCTACCTTACTAAATTCTATTAATTTAAAAAGTTTTCCAACAACTCTATGTTTTCTAGGCAGAAAATCCAGACAAGTGGAAATAACAATTTTTGTCTTTTTCCAGTACTTTTATTCCACAAGTACTGAATTCCACAAGTACTCTGAATTCCACAAGACTTATGCCAATGACTGGACAGTTCAGAAGAACATTAAGTGAGAGATACTGGGCCCTTGTCTCTTCCCTAACAGCAGTGCTCTGAGACTTTAACCTTAACCGTAAGTTGTGCTATTTGTTTGAAATACTCGTCATAGTACGGATGTAACAGTTTAATAAGTTACAAGGAAAGGATGCCAACATTTCAGAGGACTTTCAAGCATCCAGTGAGATGAGTATCTAATTTTCCTCCTTTTAACCACTGATATGCTGGTGAACAATATAATAACCACCATTATGTAGTGGTACTTACTCTAAGTTAGGCACTGATATAAATGCTTGCTTTACATGTAACAATCCATTTAACCTCCGAGACAGGTTTTAGTATCCCTATTTACAAATGGGGAAACCAAAGGCCAAAAAGGTTAATAAGTTCCCCAAGGTCGCACAGCTAGGAGAGAGGCAGAGACAACATTCAAAACAGGGTGATCTGGTTCCAGAGTCTGCTCTTAGCCACAACACAAGCTGCTGTTCAGTGGATTTCCCCATCTTAAGCTGGGCTACCACTGACTCGGTTATGAGCATGGTTCCTGAATTTGATTTGTCAGTATTTTACTTTGGATCTTTGTATTTATGTTTACACGTGTATACACATATATTTGTATTTACATATATGTACACACACATGTACACACAGCTGTTGTTGGGTTTCTTTCATTTTGCTGCTATTATCTTCGTTAGGTTTGGCTATCAGGGTTAATTGGGTTTTGCAGAGTAGCCTGCAAGCTTTTACCATGGAACTCAATTTACACAGTACAAATGTTAACTGTTTCCTACAATCCATTTTCAAACCTCAAACAGTGAAGTTTTAAATAAACTTCTCTACTTCTGAGTTGTAGATGAGAATGGCTTACAAAATACCTGTAATTAATCTTCAATTGTTAAGAAGTAATATTTCAACTAAACAAATCTATATTACATTAAATAGACTCCTTCCCTCAGATCAGGCATTTAATTAGAAAAAAACCACAGAAATTACAGTAGATGACCCAAAAGAAAGTGTTTCTTCTTAGAACATAAACACAATTAAAGTGTAACAAAATTAAATCAGCTTCAAAACTTACAGCACTGGAGAAAGTCATCCCCATCCCTCCAATGAGAGCCTTGGTTTTCTTTAGTGGTGTCTGTAAAGTAAACAGTTATCTGTTGAACAATTTCTTCCAATAAACTAAAACACACAGAACAAAATTCGTGTTTTTTTGTACCTTACTCTCAACCTTTTATTCCCAAATGATCAGCTCTATCTGACACTAAGGAACAGCCAAGTGTCCCATGTGATTCTGGAGATGAATCAAACAAGTTTGGTTACAGTCAGTTATGTCCTGTGCAAAAGTTCAGGGAGTTGTAACGCTTGCAGGAAGGGAAAGTTCACAGCTGATGGCATTATTCTAGCAATGTTGATTTCAATGTAATGAAATTTTGGTGCCCTTCTCTTATTTGTCACCAGCTGCCTTACAAACAGGTGGGGCAGATCTACCTCTATTAATTCATCTTTAGAAGCACGATATGGAAAATGATATGAAAGGAGCCTTCCATCCTTTAAAACAGAAATAAAACAACACTTAGGTTCTGAAAGCCAGACAAGGCCCCGACACTAACTCAAGTATCAGGCGCTCGGTGGTGAAGCCCAGATGCACGCTTTTTGACTATAAGCTCATGGCCCTCTGCACTAGACCAACCACCACCTCAGGCAAAGACTTGAACTAAGTGGCAAACACATATACAGAAAACCTTGTCAAGCAAAAGACTAGTCAGAAAATTATTTCGTTTATATCCTTGCTTTTCATCTTTTGCTCAAAACTTAACATCCTGACAAGTAGAGAGAACAACTAGTTTCAAATCCTACAGCAAGGATAAAAAGTATGAAGATGGTCACTTAGATATAAGTAATAACAATAAAAAATACTAACGATCTTTATCGAGATTCCAGACAGCAAGAAAGGATGATGTGAAGAAACTTATTTCAGTTGTATTATGAGTCAGTTCATAACGATTCTGAAGTTCCTGTGAAAGCTGAGACCATACTGAACACAGTTTTAAGTGTATTTGGTTGTGTAATAACTTCTTAAAGACTAATAACCCAAATACATAACCATGTTAATAAGAGGGTCATTTTCAATACTGTAAAAAAAGTTATCCCCATTGTTTTATACAGATGATAGAAAACCTAAGTAATCCATTAGCTAGAGAATTCTAACTTATTCAGGAATTTTGAAAACTCATGTGACAAAATTCAACATCCATTTATGATAAAAACTCTCAAAGTGGATATAGAGGGAATGTGCCTCAACATAATAAAGGCCATATATAACAAGTCCACAGCTAATATCCTACTCAACAGTGAAAAAATGAAAGTTTTTCCTCTAGAATCAGGAATAAGACAAGGATGCCCACTCTTGCCATTTTTATTCAACGTAGCATTGGAAGCCCTAGCCACAGCAATTAGACAAGAAAAAGAAAAGGAATCCAAATTGCAAAGGAAGAAGTAAAACTATCACTGTCTGCAGATGATGTAATACTATACATAGAAAATCCTAAAGACACCACCAAAAAACTAGAGCTCATCAATGAATCTGGTAGTGTTGCTTGATACAAAGTTGATATACAGTTAATGTTAATAAAATTAATATAGTGTTGCACTTCTATACAGTAACCGTGAACTATCAGAAAGAGAAATTAAGGAAACAATCCCATTTACAATCACATCAAAAAGAATAAAATACCTAGAAATAAACCTACCTAACGAAGTAAAAGACCTGTACTCCGAAAATTATAAGGGACTGATGAAAGAAATTGGAGATTACACAAATAGATGGCAAGATATACCATGTTCATGGATTGGAAGAATTAATATTGTTAAACTGACCATACTACCGAAGGCAATCTGCACATTCAATGCAATCCCTATCAAAATATCAATGGCATTTTTCACAGTACTAGAATAATTTTAAAATTTGTATGGAAACACAAAGCACCCTGAATAGCTAGAATAACCTTGAGAAAGAAGAACAAAGCTGGAGGTATCATGCTCCCTGACTCCAGACTATACTAAAAGCTACAGTAATCAAAGCAGTATGGTGGGACTTCCCTGGTGGTGCAGTGGTTAAGAATCTGCCTGCCAATGCATGGGACACAGGTTCGATCCCTGGTCCGGGAAGATCCCACATGCTGTGGAGCAACTAAGCCCATGTGCCACAACTACGGAGCCTTTACTCTAGAGCCTGAGAGCCACAACTACTGAGCCTGTGTGTCTCAAGCCTGTGCTCCACAACAAGAGAAGCCACTGCAAGATGCAACTAGAGAAAGCCAGTGCACAGCAACAAAGACCCAATGCAGCCAAAAAAAAAAAAAAAAAAGCAGTATGGTACTGGCACAAAAACAAACACGTAGATCAATGGGACAGAATAGAGAGCCCAGAAATAAACCCACACACTTATGGTCAATTAATTTACAACAAAGGAGGCAAGAATATACAGTGGAAAAAAGACAGTCTCTTCACTAAGTGGTGCTGCCAAAACTGGACAGCTTCATGTAAAAGAATGAAATTAGAAAATTTTCTCACACCATATACAAAAATAAACTCAAAATGGCATAAAGACTTAAATATAAAACATGACAACATAAAACTCCTAGAAGAAAACACAGGCAAAACATTCTCTGACATAAATTGTAGTAATATTTGCTTAGATCAGTCTCCCAAGGCAAAAGAAATAAAAGCAAAAATAAACAAATGGGACCTAATCAAACTTATAAGCTTTGTAAAGCAAAGGAAACCATAAACAAAACAAAAAGACAACAGACAGGGAGAAAATATTTGCAAACGCTGCAACCAACAAGGGGTTAATTTCCAAAATATACAAACAGCTTATGTATGTCAATATCAAAAAAACAAAAACAAAAACAAAACCCAAAGAACCCAATCAAAAAATGGGCAGAAGACCTAAATAGACATTTTTCCAAAGAAGACATACAGATGGCCAGCAGGCACATGAAAACATGCTCAACATCATTAATGATTAGAGAAATATAAATCGAAACTACAATGTGGTATTACTGTATTACCTCACACCAGTCAGAATGGCCATCGTCAAAAAGCCTACAAATAATAAATGCTGGAAAGGGTGTGGAGAAAAGGGAACCTTCCTACACTGTTGGTGAGAATGTAAATTGGTGCAGCCACTACAGAAAACAGTATAGAGGTTCCTTAAAAAACTATAAGTATAGTTATGATATGGTCCAGAATCTCACTCCTCAGCCTGTATCTGGAAAAGACAAAAACTCTAATTTGGAAAGATACACGCACCCCAATGTACACAGCGGCACTATTTACAATAGCCAAGACATGGAAGCAACCTAAATGTCCATCAACAGATGAACAGATAAAGAAGATGTGGTATACATATATATACAGTGGAATATTACTCAGCTATAAAAAGAATGGAATTTTGCCATTTGCAGCAACATGGATGGACCTGAAGATTATCATACTAAGTAAGTCAGACAGAGAAAGACATATAATATTATATGGTATCACTTTTATGTGGAATCTAAAAAAATAATACAAATGAACTCATTTACAAAACAGAAACAGACTCACAGACATAGAAAACAAACTTATGGTTAGCAAAGTGAGGGTGTGTGAAGAGATAAATTAGGAGTATGGGAGTATATATAAAACAGATTAAAAAACAAGGATTTACTGTATAGCACAAGGAACTATACTCAATTATCTTGTAATAACCTATAATGGAAAAGAATCTGAAAAAGAATATATATGTATTTATGACTAAATCACTTTGCTGTACACCTGAAACACAACATTGTAAATCAACTCTAGCTCAATTAAAGAATAAATAAAAAGCTTCTGCAGAGCCAAGAAAACCATTAACAAAATGAAAAGGCAACTTATACTGAATGGGAGAAAATATTTGCAAGTCTTATATTTGATAAAGGGTTAATATGCAAAATATATAAAAAACTCATACAATAGCAAAAAAACAGCCAATTAAAAAATGGGGAGAGGGGACGTCGCTGGTGGTCCAGTGGTAAAGAATCTGCCTTATAATGCAGGGGACACAGGTTTGATCCCTGGTCAGGGAGCTAAGATCCCACATGCCACGGGGCAACTAAGCCTGCGTACCACAACTACTGAGCTCACGTGCCTCAACTAGAGAGCCTGCATGCCACAAACAACAGAGCCCACGCACTCTAGAGCACGCAGACCACAACTACAAAGCCCATGCGCCCTGGAGCCTGTGCACCACAAATAAAGAAGAGAAAACCCAAACACTACAACTAGAGAAGCCCGTGCACTGCAACGAAAGATCCCTCACGCCTCAATGAAGGTCCCGTGTGCTGCAACTAAGACTGGACGCAGCCATAAATAAATAAGTAAGTAAGTCTTAAAACAAAACAAAATGGACAGAGGATCTGAAAAGACCTTTTTCCAAAAAAGACATACAAATGGCCAACAGGTAAATGAAAAGATGTTTAACATCACTAATTGTTAGGGAAATGCAAATCAAAACCACAATGAGATAGCACCTCACACCTGTTAGAAAGGCCATCATCAAAAAGACAAGAGATAAAAAGTGTTGGTAAGGATGTAGACAATAGGGAACCCTTGTGCAACTGTTGGTGGGAATGTAAACTGGTTCAGCCAGTATGAAAAATCATGTGGAGGTTACTCAAAAATTTAACAATAGAACTACCATGTGGTCCAGCAAATCCACTTCTGAGTATTTATCTGAAGAAAATGAAAACAGTAACTCGAAGATATATATACCCCCATGTTCACTGCAGCATTATTTACAATAGCCAAGACAATGGAAACAACCTAAATGTCCATCAATGGATGAATGGAAAGGAAGATGTGGTATATATATACAATGGAATATTACTCAGTCATAAAAAAGAATGAAATATTGCCATTTTGATAACATGGGTAGACTCTGAGGGCATTATGCTAAGTGAATTAAGTCAGAGAAAGACAAATACTGTATAACCTCACTTGTATGTGGAATCTAAAAAAACAAGAAAACCCAAGTTCAGATACAGAGATCGGACTAGTGGTTTTCAGAGACAGGAAGTGAGGGGTGAGGGTGGGTGCAGTGAAATGGGTGAAGGGTGTCCAAAGGTAAAAACTTATAGTTATAAAATAAAGAAGTCATGGGGATGTCACGCACAGCATGGCAACTACAGCTAATAATATTGTATCGCACATTTGAGAGTGGCTAAGAGAGTAGATCTTAAAAGTTCTCATCACAAGAAAAAAAATTCTGTAACTATACATTATGATGAATGTTCACTATATTGATTGCTGTGATCATTTTGCAATATATACAAATATCACCATGTTGTACACCTGAAACTAACATAATATTTTATGTCAATTACGCCTCAATAAAAGAAATAAATTTAAAGGAAAAAAAAGGTCTTTGATGATTTTCAGTAGATCCACAATAGGTTGCCAGGGGATGCTAGAGATACATAAGGTCTTTGCTAACCTTCAGAAGGAATGTCACCAGCCATGATTTCCCACAAAACATCACTGGGTGCTATCCTCAAGCAAAAACCACTGGGCTGAATGAAACATTGGTTTGATGAAGAATCTGAGTTACAGTAGTACACAGGCAGGGGAAACAGGAATGCAAAGTATAAATAGGAAAAGGACTACGTGAGCTGATTACAGGGAACAATGGTCAAACTGTCTGGTATTTATGCAAAGCTACCGAAGAATATATGATTTATAGTAAGACTAAATTTTGTGATTATAACACATTTACTAAACAGTTAATGTGTGCCAGGCATTGATCTAGGCAATGGTGGACAGAAGATAGAAGGTCCCTGCCCTCATGATCCTTGTACTCAAACAACAGGGAAACAAACAATTATTTCAGGCAGTGAAGAGTACTATAAACCAGGACCATGTGCTTGCAGGTGATGAGAGCAAAGGGGAAAACTACTTTCAACAGGTGGTCAGGAAAGGCCTCCTTCAGGATGTAACTTCAGTACTGAGTCACACGATGAGTCAGCCAGGCAAAGCCCCAGAAGAAGATGCTTTCAGGTTGAGGGAACAAGTAACATGCTGCCAGAGAAGGAAAGCAACACATGTGAGGGCAGAACAAAGGCCAGCGTGCTAGAAGCAGCGCAGTAAGTAAAGGGAAGAATGGGGTAATAAGACCAGGTCACAGAGGTAGGCGGGAGCCAGATGATGATGCAGGGCTGCATAGGAATCAGATTTTGGTTTAAGTAACAAATATATATTAATAACCATAACCTTTATACTGCTAATGGTAGTACAAGTGATAACCATACTCTGTGCTTAATCAGACAAGTCCCAAACAGGAAACCACACTGTACCAAAAAACGTGTGTGTGCGTCCATGCTAACCTGAATGATAAAGTGGATCCTTAAGATCTAAGCAAAGATAGTGGCTGGTCACGTTAAGGCCAAACTACATTCTTTAAGAAACAGACAATCTTACACTTGCATATGACTAATGTGCTACTTTACTCATCTGAAGCAAAAAAACCCCTAAGGAGTCATCTGCTTTCCTGGGCCCCATATACAGCTGCTCTGAAATAAAGTTTTGACAATTCGGATAATTCTATGGCTAACTTTTAACAACGAAAGATCACTTTGCCTTAAGCAAAGACATGATGTATTCATTCTTCCCCTACATCTCCTTCCCTCACTTCCTTGAGGTTTTGACCAAGTGTCAGTTTTTCTAGAGAATGATTTTAAAAATACTAACCTGTGCTTCAGTGAAGAACAGTGTGTCTGTCACCCCATAACAACATTCAAGTAAAATCAAGAAATGGATGAACGGTTCCCTGGGCAAAAACTAGAAATGGGGGGTTCCCTGGTGGCGCAGTTGTTGAGAGTCCGCCTGCTGATGCAGGGGACAGGGGTTTGTGCCCGGGTCTGGGAAGATCCCACATGCTGCAGAGCGGCTGGGCCCATGAGCCATGGCTGCTGAGCCTGCGCGTCTGGAGCCTGTGCTCCGCAACGGGAGAGGCCAC